TTGCAGAACCAAAGCCGAGAATATGATGTAGTGTTCAACTATGATTAGCACCATGATTTTATTGGCCTTTTTACAATATTTTAAACCATATTAAAATGTTTATGCCTTCAAAATAAAAAAAAATTCTTAGAATTAACATTTTTTATGAGTATACTGTATGTTGTCACCAACAAAGTCTGCTTGGCGATATTTGCGCCGGCGAAACGGAAAAGTACCTTATTTTCTAACATGTTTTATAAGTTAAACAACAAGAAGTTTAGAAAATATTGGTAAATACCAAAAGTTGAATAAAAGTTGTTTTTTATATTCCTAAACTAAACAAATAAATTAAATCCTGACCGAATTTCCTCTGTCCTGAAACTGTGCAATCCTCCTTACCCTCCGGTTGAAATCCCCTGTGTTAGTGGCATTGAAATTAAGGGATGCGACTTACAGTCGTTGCCGCCCAGGTATTTAAGATATACGAAATTATTTATTTGTCCAAAGGGGTAGTTTGCCCAGAAGGACTATTAATTTCGTTTTGGCATTTTGCACCGATTCATGATGAGCGTTGTTTCACTTTCCAAATTGTTGCCACCAAATATCATCGCCCTGTATTATATTTAAAGAATTCAAATATGGAACAATAATATGTAAATGTATGTTTCTTGCATTGTGATAAAACAAAGGTACCTAGAGGCATCAGAATTTGAATAACGTATTCTTCCATAGAATATGGGCACGTGAAAGCCTTATTTGAATTTTTTTCTATTATCGATTTCATATTTTGTAAAACTTTAACGAATTTGAGCAATGCTTAATTTGCACCGGAGCCCACTGGAGCGCGGTTCCGGTACTTCTCAATTTTTAAGATAAATTACAATTCTAGCCGGAACGAACCGGAGCCCTAAATAAGATGAGCTCCGGTACTTCCTTTTATAAAACTGAGCTACAATTTCAAGAAAACAAAATTTAGAATTCCTAACGTTTTAGTTTAACAATAAGCAAATTTTGCAATATATTACTAGAAATACGAACTCATGAGAACATGAGACGTTCAAGTAAAGTTCCCTTACTCACATGCGGAAACCTTTCCCTTTAAGAAGGGCAATAAATTTGCGGGAGTTTGTTTAGGAACGCGTACATTTCTCTGCATGCCATTGTATCTAGTGTATTGTTATCGATGGTTATAGTTAGTTATCCTCATAGGAAGGAAAATTTGTGTTTTTAAATGTGCGTTAAGTGACAGCGAGTAAAGTAAGAGTGAAATATTGAGATAAGCTGCTGAAGCACGTCCTATACATCGTCTTCCCACAATATGCACTAATGTAACCAAATACGGGGGGGGGGTCGAAAAGCGTAACCAGCAACTTTACATTCATCCTTAGGAGTCAGATTCAGAACTCATTTTACCCCTGACACACATCCGCTTGATGGCTGTAATTATATCAGCAAAGAGCCGCGGTCAAAGAAAACGTTCTCTCTCACCAAGATTTACCTCAATTTTTGTTTCCACCCACTCATACCCTCACGCCGTCATTCGCCCTCTTTTTAGTATTATCTGAATTTTCATTAACTATATTTTAAGTATATTTAATTTCTTTGATGATAAAAGAACTCCCCCCCTTACGATCAGAGCTTAAATTTCGCCGGAGCTCACCGTGTCCTGGCTCCGATGCTTCTTAGTTTTTGTAATAAATCATAATTCTAGTCGGAGCGCACCGGTGCCCTAAATAAAAAGGTTCCGGCACTTTTATGTAATTGAATAACAATTTCACTAGAAATTTTATTTCGAAAATTTTATTTTTAGCAATAAAATTATATTAAAAATCGCTTATTAAATTTTAATTTATCTCCTTACATTTAACTTTAATTATATAATAATTATTTATTAAATAACAATTTATTACTATTAATTAAATAACAAGAGAAATATTATTATTAAGTTGATTTAGTAATTAACTAGTAATAATTAACTATTTAAATTATTAATTATTAATGTTTTAATAGTCATTTTGTTTATTTATTTACTCTTGTTCCTCTTTGCTGACAGTCTTCCATAAAGCTCCAGCACTTCTAATTTTAGAAATTAAGACCTGGAATTTGAACGATTTCGAAGCGAGTAAATGGAACGTTACGGGAGGGAGGGGATTATCTTCAGTGAGTGATGAAAATTCTATAGACATGCTCATTTTAAAATTATTTTGCGATATTGCCGTGAAACTGAATTTTATGGTTTAAGTGCGAGGGGCGTTTTTTAACATTTTGTGTGTTACCTTTCTTTATTAAATATCATGTTCCTCGCACTTAAACCATAAGATCCAGTGCAACAGCAATATCGCAAAATAGTTTTAAAACGAGCATATCTTTAGAATTTCCGATACAGAGACTCACGCGCTGGAGATAAAATGTTTTTCTGCACAACGTTGCCATTGCTCGCTTTGAAATCCTTGAGTTGTTAATCAAAAATTTCGTCAAAGTTTTAAAAAATAGGAAATCGATCATAAAACAAATTTCAAATTTCAAATTTGGTCTTCCACATGCTCATATTCGTTGGAGGATTACGTTATTCAAATTCGATTACTCTATGTACCGTTGTTTTTATCACAATACGAGAAATATACATACATTTATGCAGATTTTTCATTATTTAATTTCTTCAAATATAATGCAGGACTCTAACATTTTGTGGCAACAGTTTGAAAAGTGAACCGACATTATGAGTCCGACGCAAAATGCCAAACGAAAACTAATAGTCCTTCGGGATTCAAATCCCTTTGGACTAAAAAAAAAAAAAAAAAAAAAAAAAAAAAAAAAAAAACTGGACGAAATTTAAAATCTGAAACCTTTCAGATTTTTTAAAATATATTTTTATCAAGTATTTTTGGGCTCCGATAAACTGCGGATACTGAACCTTAGTATGCATCTGGCTTCGAAGCTCAGGACACTTTATCCCCTTTATTTCTGCTTAGTAAAGAATTCAACGTAAATAAATCTTTAAAGAAGCAAATATTGTGTTTGTATTTATATAACAATTGCATTTGCGAAAGTTTGTCAGCATAAAAACTGATTATCTTGTATTGTGATTATCTTGTATTGCTGGAGCTTGTTTCTTCATCTCGCTTCTTGTAAAACAAACGTAAACGTTCTTTGATGTCTGGCAAATTAAATGAGGTGAAACGTTCTAGCAGAAAACTCCGTTTCTTGAAACATCTGCAATAACAGGAAACGGTCGGCTCGTTATGATCCTGATAATTCGCTTTTACCGCTGAATTTATGCTTCCTTTATGTTCCGAGATGCTTGACTTGTCTGTTCTTTGCTCTTGAACTTAGTCTTAATTACGTTTTTGCTGTTTTTCCGAGCTTGCATTTTTCAAACATTCGCTTTGATGCTTCGCTTTCTGAAACAGCTCATCTATAAATAATAACAAAATTGACTTTTTACCTTCTTTATTGCGATAAAATGTGATGTTAACCTTTGCTTTATTAAATGACATGTTCAAGCTTGATATGCAGAGTTACAAGGCAGAATAACTGCAACGGATTATCCGAATTCTTTTTTCTTCCCCCCTTTTCCTCTCTTTTGTTTTTGGGCGGGGCTGTATGTGTGTTTCCTATATTTCAGTTGAGGAAAGGTTCTGTGTTTTGTTTTATTACATTATTTTGATTTTTAACAGGTAGTTACGCGAGTTCTTCTCAACACCCCCTCTTTTTTTTTTTTAAAAAAAATTCTTTGCATATTTTTTTCAGGAGTGATTAAGTATGAAATAATTTAAATATTTGTTTTAGTATCATTTAATTAATTGTTAATATATTTAATTAATAAGTCACTATAAATTGCCTTCGTAAATATTAAATTTCAATTTTACAACAGGTTCCCTAAACTAAAAGTATTTTATTAAGCATTTTTGCTGAACCAGTGAGAACCAACTAATGATTTATATGCATTTCAAATTACTTCATTATTAGTTTTATTATGAATAAAAAACTTCAAATTTTATTTTTCATAAATTAGTTATTTTGAATATATATCTATTAAATGTAGCTAGGAATACCATTTATTTAAAAAGGGCAATAGAATAATATATCAACAGCTCATTTATATTAAAAGTATGCTATTTTTTCATACCGTGTTCAACAATCATAAATCAGAAAGATAATGAAGAAAATAGGTATAATTTGATAGGGGCTTTAAGCAGAGCAAACTGAAAAGCATGTCTGTGTATTTAACTATGTTGTTTCTGAATATTTAAAATTGAGTCAAAATAAGTGCAATCAGATATGTACATACAAGACTTAAAAAACTTTTTGTATTTGTGGCCATGAAATTTTAAATAGAAGCAAACTTAAAAAACCTAAAAGTGTTATTTTCATATATTTATGAAAATTATGTGCAAGAATATTTGCATATATCAGAAAGATATGTACATACAAGTATGGGTGAACATCTTGTGGATGTGGGCTGTAAGTAATATTGTTGCTTGCTACCAGTTTATGGAGATCTCTTTCCGTGACAAGGTTAGGTGAACAATATGACTTAGAACTTTATTCCATAACAAATAGCTCTCTCTCTCTTTTTTAAGGTCTCTTTTTTAAGGTACAGCTATAAATTGCCCAAGAATAAAAACAGAGATAAGGCAAAACTTTATTAACATCACGAGGAATATCGCAGATTGCCTAAATTCCTTGCAGAACAAAGTCTAAACAGTAGTCACTTGAATAGAGAGCTGACTAATATAAAATAGACAATGAGTCTCTATTTAACGAGGTTTTCTATCCACATTTCTGGTTCTTGTTGTAATTCCAAATTAAGTTCACTGAAAATTAATAAGTCTACAATATAATATATGAAATAACACATGCAGTCACAGGAGGTACCTACAGATTTAAAATTAAAGTAACAATAAACAAAATGTACCAAATAAGTATAAATTTCATATTGGATTTTGATGCAGTTTTGTTTCTCATTGCTTTCTGAAAAACACTAGAGCTACATCTCTGTTTTTTTCTTCTCCATATAGCAGACGCTGAGAGCTCAGGATGTCTAAAGAAGAAAATGCAAATGAGGTTAAAGACGAACCCCGAAGTCCTGAAATGTTTGACCCTGATGACCCGGAGTGTCAAAGACAGATGTGGAGACCTCCTGATATACAGCAGGATGTGCAAGAAATGGAGAGACGGAAACGAGTCGAAATAATCATGAACAGGTAAGAAAATATTGTAATTATTTAAAAACCATGGATAAATATTTAATAATATAGCTCATCTTATTGTTTATAGGAGCATATTTTCTTTAGAAGAAAAATTTGTTCGAGTATTTTCTTCATTTTGGGAATTTTCATCTGTGATAGCTAGCTGCTTTTAGGGTAATCCATTTGTAATACCTGCTTTTATATTAAAAAGGCAATCTTGTGATTTTTTGCAGACTGCACTGATAAAGAAGGTATGTTGCATCACATCATTTTAAGAAACTGATATGCTGCCCAGATTTTTGGCAAATGTCAAAAAAGAGATATTTTTTGCAAATGCCAAACCAAAACAGAGACCTTTTGCAAAATGTTGCCTTTTTGTGCCAACCAGTGACATTTTGCCCATTCTTTATAAAAATAGAGTTTAGGAAATTCCTTCTAAAGGAAAAATCATTTTTACTGTTCTTTTGAATATCTTAAAAAGCTGTTGTTATTTTTACTTAGTCTTGCTGCAAATAAAGATCAGAAATATGAGAAAAAGTTGTTGCATATTGAATGGAGCCTAAGATATTTTGTTTATCTTCTGTATTATAAAATTGCTTTTGTAATTATTATAGTAAAAGTTTCTGTGATAGCAGTTTGTAATTTTGAACAAGGTTAGTAATTAATGCTATTAACTTTTATACCATTAGTATAATTAAAAAAGTGTGTTTTTCCTAATGTTCAAGAGGTCAATTACAAAATTACTAACTTTACTTTATGTGTGCCTTATATCTGCATCAAAAATGACATTATGTGATTGTAAAGAATTATTGTAAAAGTTTATTGATTGTACAGAAGTCCATAAGTAGATATTTTAAAAATTTGATCCATATGGCAATATTAATAATCATTTTAACATTTTGATACTTTTTTAGTTGTACTATTTTGTATTCAAAAAAGAAATGTAGAAACAAATGCTGGAGATTTAAAATTTTTTTTATTAGTTTCTATTTTATAAGGGTCGTTCAAACAAAAGTGGCACTACATTTGGTTTAGGAAATGGTTTAATGATATTAATATAAGTTAGTATACAAAAGAAAGAGGTAATATAGATGTAACAAACAGGCCAGACAAAGTCACCTTGTATGAGACAAAGTCACCTCTCTTCAAATGGCAAAGTTACAACAATGCCACTTTCATTTTATTATAGTTGTTTATCTGTAGTTATTTAACTGTAAATACTAAATTTAATCAACTTGCAGCAGTAGGCATAATTTTTATTCAAGAAATTTATATTTTAAAAGCTTAGAAATTTTTCAGTGGAAGAATCCTTTGCAGGGTGAAAGCTTTCGTATTGTAAGTTTTCACATGACAAGATTTTGAATGAAAGTATTTGCATTGCAAGTTTTCTCCCCTCTGTTTAAATTCTATTTTGAAGTGAAAAATATGAAATAAAATTTCATTAGTATTGGCTAGCAAAACTATCAAAGCAAAAATCTTAACATTATTTAAAAAAAATTTAATCTGTAATGAAATTCAGATGTCTGAAGCTGTTTTTGGTACTGTAAAGAACGCTCCTGAACTCTACTAGAAAGACCTATGATGCTCTTGACTAGAGAGAACGTCGTTAGCAAACTCCTCACATTACGAGTACTGTAATTCATTTTAACGCCTATTTTAAAGAACTGTGAATGGCAACGACTTAACTGAGGAATACGCATGCATAAAGAGATGAGATTTCTGTGAGACGCCTGAGAGAGAGAGTTTTGGGAAGCTCCGCCAGCGAGCTGAGGTGTGGAGACTTTGTTTGTCGAGTGATGACAAGTACCATCTTCGCTAACGTCTCTGATCGTGTCACCAGCTCGGATATCTACTAAAGTTTTCTAAATGTATTAATGTTGTATCTGTGATATGTTGTGTTATTAAAAAGTGATGCATCACCACTATCAGTGTTGATTCCGTTCCCACTGAAGCATCCACGTTCCCACTGAAGCATCCACGACGTCACAGACTAAAAGAAAATAAGAATTGGAGGTTCCAACCGAGATTTGTGTGACAAGAGACCAGGTATGTGTTCTCCACAATATTCATTTCCAGGCCTGAAGTGTTAATGTAGTTATTTATTACTTATTCGGGAAAATCATTCCCAAAGCAGAAGTAGCACGTCAGTGCATACCAGTTTTAAACACTCAATGTGTTTGATATTAGTATATCTAACAAAGATATTTTCCTTTTGTGATATATTCGGGAAAACATTTTCCCATTAACACGTAGCACATCCAGTGCATTTTATAGCACGTCAGTGCATAAGAGTTTTTAAGACAATCAAAGTGTTGCATTTATATATCTAACGAGATATTTTTTTTTTGTATGATTATGGGAGAAAATCCATTCCCGTAAATAAATAGCACATCAGTGATTTATGTTTCTTTTCCTTATAATTGGTGTGATAGATCTGACTGTTTATTTTGTGTATATGTGGAAAGCACACAGTGCAATATTGCAATTTTCATTTCTAAGTCATTAGAAGAAAATTTATGTTAAATTCTTGTGAAAGAAATAAGGTGTTGAATATATTAAAAACTTGTTACTTTGTTTTCTCATGAAAGCACACAGTGCTGTATTTAATATGATGTGTATTTTTCTGATAATTAGAATGTTAAATTCTATCATTTCATTTTTAAAATTAAAGCTTTGAGCATAAAGAAATGTTCGAATAGTGTTCTGATTAAACCTGCGCCTATTGAATTTACCTAGTAATTGCGTTGGCCATATGGATTGCCAACCGAAGTAGCTGTCATGAAAACGATAGTTAATTAAAGGTGTTTATATTTATTGGCGCCACTATGGTTTTTTTTTTTTTTTTCTGTCTGGCTGTACTAAATGAAAAGAATTTGTTATTAATTTTTTATAGGAAGTATTCAGTAAGGTTGTTTATTCATTTTAATGTTTGAATGGAAATAAATCCACAGTGATTAATGCTTTTATTAACCTTTTATTTTCATTTGCCTAATTTTGTAAGAAAGAAGAAAAGTTAGTGTTTTTTTATATCTCTGATATATTTTTATGTGTATTTACTTGTGAATAACTATTTGAGTTATTTGTTTTGAACAATTACTTTTGCGAAAATGGCATTTTTGGGGAAAGCTAAGAAAAAGGGATCTAGTTCCTTGTCGCGACAGAACTTGGGGAAATAGCTTTAGAAGATGTGAAAGTGATATATTTAAAACGATTAATAACGAATAGTAAAAATGAGGAGGAGAATTTGTTAAAAATTTGTTAGAAAGTATTATGACTGATAGGATAGGAAAGAAAAACTTAGAGAAACAGAACAAGAGCGAAAGAATTACAGTTAAAACAGGAAGCTAGGGAGAGGGAAATTTCAGATACTTTCAACAAAATAAAAAAACTTGAAAAGCAACAGTTAGAACTAGAATTCCTTAAAGCAAAACAGAATATTGAATCTGCTAAACCTAGGAAGGTGAAACCGGTATTTAATCAGAATTTTCAGAAACTTATGCCCAAGTTTAATTTAAAAACTGATGATATCAGTTTATTCTCAGAACTTTTTGAGAGGCAAACTAAAGTTCTAAAATTGCCCACGGATCAATGGGTGTCATATCTCATTGGTGTCCTTCCGGTTGAGGTAAATAATATAATTGCTAGTTAGCCTGAAGGAACAGGCTAGAGATTACCACATATTAAAGATTACTACTTAAAAGATTTAAGTTAAGTGCTGAGAAGTTTCGGCAACTTCTTGTTAAGACTCAGAAAAGGTCCCGGATGCTACGTGGTACGATTTTTATCACGAAATTAAAACATTTTAGATGGGTGGCTCAAGGGATTAAAAAATCGAAACATTTGAGCAACTCAAGGATTTAATGTTGGTAGATCAGATTAAAGGCGCACGCCTAATGAGTTTAAGGAACATTTTATAGATGAATGGGTCACGATCACTTTCACCAAAACAGTTGGTGGGTAAAATAGAGGAATTTGAAGATGCGCAAAAAGACGATGTTTGGGAAAACGAAATTGGGGGAAATGAAAAACGAAAATATCAGGTAGACAAATGGCTGTTTTTTCAGTCCACTGGTAACGTTTTCAAAAATAGAAAAAAACCCTCAAGGTACACAATTTAAAAAAGATGATGATGCACGCAATGTTGGGAAAAAGTCAGACTCGAATTTTTGATAGGAGAAAAAGACTCCAGTGCTATGAATGTGGATCTTTTGACCATTTACGTCCTCAGTGCCCTAATTTTAAAACCCAAAAGGCAGATTTGTATCAGATAAGCGGGAGATCAAGAAGAAGCTGTTAGATCCCTATACGTTAAATGTAAGAGTAAATGGTTTGAAGTACCTATCTAAGAGATACAGGAGCAACGGTAGATATTATTTGTCAGAATATGTAGACATAGATCGAATGAAGGGAGAACACGTGTGGGTTCGACACATTTGTTGGATGATCATATGACTTGTTTACCTGTTGCTGAAGTAGATATTGAATGCGATTTGGGTACAGTAACCACTAAAGGCAGCTGTTATAGGAGACCACTTAGACCAAGGACGATATATATTAGGCAACCAGACAGCGGCTCTTCTCAGAGGAATTGAGAAAATTATTCGTCGTATGTCGGTAATGTTAATGCGGTCGTTTACTTGATCTCAAGCACGACAATTTAAGGAAGCGGAAAATTTATGTGGAGACGAATCAAAATTCTGAGCAGAATGAGTTAGAATTGGAAGAGGAGGACGATGCTCATGAAGAAGGTCTAGAAAACAGAGAGATATTGCCTTCCTGTCGACCTTTGTGTCCCCACAAAGTCCTGCAATTCAAATAGACCTCAAGTACTTTTATTGATGAACAACAAAAAAGTAAAGAACTTGCCCCTTTATTAGAACTTAGGAAAAAGCGGAAGTAAAACAAATTATGGGAATTAAAAATGGGGTTTTAGTTAAAAAGAAAAGGTAAATAAGTTAGGAGGAGAGAAGAACACTTGAATTGTTGTTCCAGAAAACCTCAGAGAGCAAATTAGTCATAAAGGAACTTCAGGTCACTTGAAGGAACTTGTTGGTCAACTTCAGGAGTTCTGAAAAACAAAAGACCGGTTACTAAGACATTTTTTCTATGGCCAAACTGTTATAAAGACATTGAGAATTCGTTAAAAGCATGCGACTCCTTGTCAACGTGTAGGAAATGTAAATGACAAAAAGAAAGGCACCGTTGGTAACTAGTACCTGTGATATCTGAAGTCTTTAGTAAGGTTAATGTAGATGCTTGCGGGCCTATGCCTACATCTACTGAAGGTCTTATTACAGTAAATATAAATATGGTGAAATATCTTATTACAGTTATGTGCTTAGCATCTAAATATCCTGACGCCGTCCCGGTACCGGATATAACGTCGAAATCTGTTGTAAGTGCACTCTTGCAGGTATTTAGTCGGATGGGCTTTCCAAGGGAGGTTCAAACTGATCAAGGAAAATCTTTTATGAGTCGCTTAACCGTTGAATTTTTTGAAGAGGTTTGGTATAAAAATTTCCAGAAAAAGTTCGGTTTACCACCCCCCAGAGCAATCCTGTAGGAACGGTTCCATAGGTCAATAAAAAGGGTCTTAAAGGTATTATGTATTGAAGCTGCCCCAAATTGGATAAATGTACAATACCTGCCGCTCTCTTTGCCCTGCGAACAGTAACTGCATGATAGTACAGGATTTAGTCCAGCTGAATTAGTGTACGGGACCAACCTCAGAACACCTGTCGCATTATTGTATGAGAAATGGTTAGATCCTCAGGAAAAAAGAAGATACCGTAATAGAATATGTTTTCGAATAAATCAATAGGTTAAAGAAAAGTAGAGAATTAGCTACAGAGAAAAATGGAAGAGGTGAGAGACAAAAGGAAGAAATGGGTATGACAAAAATGCCATGAAAAAGGGAATTCCAGCAAGGAGATTCTGTATTAGTATTAGCAGTGAACCAACCCCATAAACTCGCTCCTCAATGGAAAGGGCCGGGAAAAATAGAGAAAAGATTATCAGAAACAAACTATGTGGTTAGTTTTGAAGGGAATCAGGAAGGGAATAAAGTGTATCACATCAATATGTTAAAACCTTATCATAAGAGACCTGAACTTTTGAATATGGTGCTCCTTGACAACGAGGAGATAATTGAACCCTCGGAATTAGAGGAGGATTTTCCTTATATGTAAACCGACCCCAATGTGTTTGATTTTAATGAAATAATAGCAAAAGATAATCATAAAAAAAGACTTAGTGATGAACAAATCCTGCAGTTGGGAAAGTTGTTGGTAAAGTTTTCTGCTATATTTTCGAATATTCCAGGGAAAACAAATTTAGTCGAACATGATATCGAACTAATCAGTGACAAACGCGTACAGCATAAGCCTTATAGAATGACAAATCGACAGAACGAAATTCTTAAAGTCGAGATTGAAAAAATGTTAAAATACAAGATTATTGAACCAGGACCCTCTGAGTATACTTCATCCATGATCCTTGTTGAAGCACCAGGTAGGGATCCATGGCCGTGTATTGATTACAGAAAGTTAAACGAAATAACGCGTACTGAGTTCTACCCAAATCCCCAATATAGAGCAACGTGTTGAAACTGTTACAGCAGCCAAATTTATCACCTTGATAGACTTAACTAAAGGTTATTGGCAAATTCCGCTGACCCCTAGGGGCTCAGAAAATCGCTGCATTTGCTACAAATTTTGGCGTATATAGGCCATTGCGAATGCCATTTGGGCTTAAAAATGCTCCTTATTATTTTAGTAAAATGATGAGCGAAATATTGTGCGGATGTGAGAAATATGCGACCCCTTATTTAGATGATATTGCTATTTTTTCTGAAACGTGGGAGGAACATTTACAACATTTACATGAAATTTTAGAAAGAATAAGAAAAGCCAATTTAACTATTAAACCCTCTAAGTGCAAGTTTGCACAAGAAGAAGTGCAATATCTCGGTCACATAGTAGGTCGAGGAAAACGTTCTCCAGCAGAACTAAAAATAGAATCGATTCAAAATTTTCCTGTTCCCACAACTAAAACTGAGATTAGAGCTTTCTTAGGGTTAGCTGGATACTACAGACAATATAACCTATGTTTTCTGCTATAGCCGCACCTTTGACAGATTTGTTAAAAGGGAATAACAAAAAGAGTAAAATTGTTTGGAATGATGAATGTAATGAATCATTCAAATCGTTAAAAGAAAAGCTATCTAGTAGGCCTGTGCTACATGCACCCGATTTTTCTAAACCATTTATACTACAGACAGACGCATCAGATCAAGGATATGGTGTTGTTTTAGCCTAAAAAGATGATAAAGGAGAAGAACATCCCATATTGTATCTCAGTAAAAAATTTACTGATAGTGAGCGGAAGTATTCCACCACTGAAAAAGAGTGTGCCACAATTCTGTATGGAATAAAAAAACTGAAAGGGTATATAGATGGGCAGACTAAATTTTCAATTCAAACGGACCATAATCCCCTAGTATGGCTAAAAGATAATGCAGGTAGAAATGATCGATTATTACGCTGGGCCTTAGCCTTGCAATCTTATAATTTTACGATACATCATAAAAAGGGAAGTGACAACTTAAATGTAGACTGCTTAAGTAGAAACTCTGTATATGCCAGTTAAATAGACTAGTATCATTTCTTTTAAGTTGTCTTGTTATTTGATTATGTATATTGTATTTTTTTTTAAAATTCATACTATATAGTAAATTGTTAGCTTTATTCTTACAGAGAAAACTTTTTGTTTTGGTTTTTCATATATTGTATGTGTATTTTTAAATGTGTTTTTTTTTATGATGGCCTGGTTATGAGAGTGGAGAACCTTTGTAACAGTGTGGTTTAGAATTTACTGGTAAAATGTTGAACAATCTCTATTGAAACCAGAAACTGCGAACTGTGAAGGTTTACTTCTCCTGTGTCCGAAGAAAACAAAAACTGGAGGCAAAAGGTGTTTGTTTGTAGCGAACGCCTGCCTGAACTTGTATTCTATCACGTAGGAACTTAAAAAAACGTTTTGTTTCCTCTGTGTCCGAGGAAAACAAAATCTGGAGGCGGAAGGAGTTAGTCTGTAAAGAACGCTCCTGAACTCTACTAGAAAGACCTATGATGCTCTTGACTAGAGAGAGCGTCGTTAGCAAACTCCTCACATTACGAGTACTGTAATTCATTTTAACGCCTATTTTAAAGAACTGTGAATGGCAATGACTTAACTGAGGAATACGCATGCGTAAAGAGATGAGATTTCTGTGAGACGCCTGAGAGAGAGAGTTTTGGGAAGCTCCGCCAGCGAGCTGAGGTGTGGAGACTCTGTTTGTCGAGTGATGACGAGTACCATCTTCGTTAACGTCTCTGATCGTGTCACCAGCTCGGATATCTACTAAAGTTTTCTAAATGTATTAATGTTGTATCTGTGATATGTTGTGTTATTAAAAAGTGATGCATCACCACTATCAGTGTTGATTCCGTTCCCACTGAAGCATCCACGACGTCACAGTACTTATCAGGGTCAGGTTCACAATAACCTAATGATAAAAATTATGCACAGCCTAATTGCTATCCAGTTAGGATCAGTAACAACAACCAGTTTTTCTTCCTGTGAATTTTTTTAAAATATTTTTATTTACTGCATCATTTGCATGAAATGCAAATAAGTGTTAAATTCTTGTTATTGATTCCTCCCATTTTGCCTGGAAAACTGTCATTTTCTATAATATTTGTATATACAAGTTCAGTTAGTGATTTAATGACTGGAATTCAAACTCTTGTCATATCTTCTTGTGATCTTTGATACATTGAATGCAAAAGCATTCTGCATATAAAGTTGCTTTTAAGGAATTAAAATACAGGAAAAGTAAAATGCGCAGAGAGTGTTATCAAATATTTTATTGTTTTTCAGTCAAGTATTTCGTGAAGAACTGGAGCGTATAATTGAGTCTCAAATGAGCGAGGGACATGCACAAGCTAATTTGGCTGCCCTACAACAAGTAACAGAGCTGCTACTGCCACATACTTCTCGCACAAATAGCTCAACTGTTAGGTCTGGTGTCTGTGTTATTCCTATAAATGACATCCGTGGAATTGATGGCCTACGGTATGCAAAAGGAGAAAAAGTACAGCGAGCTAAACTGGCTGCAGTATACAGGTTAATTGATCTATATGGATGGGCAGAGAGCATGTTCAACAATATTACCGTGAGTATGAAAAGTTTTTTAAAATTTTTGTTTTTAATGTAAGTGTTAATTTTTAAAATTAGAGCTGTCCAACTTTAAGATTATTTTACAGGATATACTCATATTAATAACCATCTGTTTCTATTACAGTCAAAAGTCTTTAATCCGGACTCGTCGGGACTTCGGCGATTCCGGATTATCGATTTTTCCGGATTATAGATCATCAGTTTAAATCTGGTAAGATGGCATGCAGAAATTATAAAATTAAAAATATGAAACCGTAATTTATAAAATAATGAGCAATTATGATCTAAAGGGTATCAAAATTTACAAAAAAAAAGAAGCTTAATATTTATTTGTTTACTTTATTAAACATTTCTTTCAACGCACGCATGCGTAAAGCATACCTTACGCATAGCCGAAATTAGAAAATTGCAACCAGAAAACTATTTGATTTGTATTCGTGATATTTATAATGACGAGGAATTTGATTTAAATCATATCAAAGACGGAGTACATCGAGATTAAATACTACATTTAGTAAGGAGTTATAAGCCGAATAAAATAAAAACATCTGCCCTGAAGATAACGATAGTGCTGACAGATCAACTTCCAGTTCATTGCGCGCCGCGACGTCCCTCCCCCGCGTAGAGCAGCGTGAAATTGATAAACAGATTTCCGAACGGTTAGATAAACAAAGGATATGGCTTTATCCATTTTTTGTAGCAATTCGTTTTTTGTTTGATGGACATCGAAACATACTTTCGTTTCTCTAGATCCTTTGGGAGCTCCAGCATCGGAAATTCTATTTGACATAATCGAAAGTTCAAGCTTACTTTTATAAAATTGCTCTTACAGTCTGCAAAAAATAATAAGCGGATCCAATTCCAAGATTAAGGAACAACGCAATCATCAACATTAACTGAAATAGATAATTAGAGCTTATACCATCCGTTATACATTAAACGCGCACGCGAAAACTTATTCTGTGCTTGTGCAAACGCATATGCGCAGTCGTAAATGTCATGCGCGCACGCGTAAAATGCCTATGCGCATGCATCAACGCGGCGCATGCGCAGAGAGATTTTAGCTTTGAGGTCCGGATTATAGATCATTCCGGATTATGGGTGTCTGAATTAACGACTTTTGGCTGTAATATGAAACTACAGTAATCTTCTCTAGCAGAATGAGCAGTAGCCAGATGCCACAATGAGTGATACAATTGGACTCTGGTTGATTGTTATAAAAATCTGAATGCATTGAAATTAAAAAACAAAGCAGGGTTTGAGATGTAGATTCCATATTGATTTAGTTGGGCAATCCCAGAGGTACTGTAGGGAGTTTAAAGGTCTGGTTATTTAGATTACAGCGAGCTAAATTGGTAGTAGCTAAATTTATAGTAGCTTTTTCTGTACTTGCTCTTTCTTCTTATTAAGTAGCACAACAGTGACTAAATGGGTAAAACAAATTGATAGTTTGATCCAAGTTCAGACCTTGGCTAATGGGATAAGCTGCTGGGTATTTTCATGGCTTTCCAAATATAATAAAAAATATAAAAATTTGTAATAAATATATATTTGTAAATACAAATAAGTTTTTCTTAGTTTTTTCCACTAGGTTAATCTATAACCCTTCTGCTTTACTTCAGTTGATTAATTAAACAACCCATGAAATTTGCTGGCAATGAGTTCATGCTTATTTCTTTTATTAGTTTATTTTTTTCCTTCTAGCTTCAAATTATATATTTCATCCTCTTTTAAATAAAATTTAAATATATAAATTGGTTTACTTTCATAAAATAATGAAATTTCTTCAAAACTGTAATGAAGATTTAATTTTATTAAGAGACAGTTTTAAACATCTGAATTTTCACTAGTACAAACAAGTGACAGTTTGCAGTAGTCTCAGTCAATAATTTGAGTATCATTGTCTTTGAACCTAATACATTTCCATGAGCATTATAATTTTGTTTTCATATTTCTTGTTTTACCCATGTGTACTCAACGTCTGTCTATCTGTCAATGTGACGTCTAATTAATTGCTTTCTTTTGAAAGGCACCAATCTGATTTGAATTAGTAAAGGATTTCTGATTTTGTTTAAGATTTTATTTGTGCAATCTAATTGAAATGACAAATTACTTATATTTTTTATTTTTGCCTAACATACCTTTCATGAGAAAATTCAGTACATACTTATTTAATGTTGAAAATATGCTGCCAAGGAATTTCTATTTATTTTATAGCAGAAACATATGTTTTATAATAACTAGTATACTACTTATTGTAAAACTATCTAAAAAGGAAATCTATTAAGTTTTTTCATACTGAATATTCAGGGGCATATAGTAGTCAAAATTATTAACAGAGGTATCTGTGTTTTCTTTTTTATTAATACTTTGATGAGGCATTATTGTTTTCATTTAATATATAAAATCATATTCTGGCTAGTGAAATCTGCATAATGATTCAATAAAAACAGCGAATTAAAGAATAAAAAGATAATTGAAGCAGTATTTATCAACCATATGTTTTGTCAAGATTTACTGGTGTGCAAAGCATGATCTGTAATTTATCTTACACATCATAATGCATTATAGATTTCCAATGCGTAGCCATTTGTCAAAAGTGTATTGTTTTTATTTTCTAATTCTATTCTTCTGTTTCACATGTGAACATTGCTTTTTCCTGTAATTCAGAGTTAAATTTTGTTAAGATATAACACAATGTTAGCTATGCTAATTTCCATAGCCTTTCATTGTTCGATAAAAAAGTGGTGGTGGACAGTTTTTATTATTTAAAAAAATTTGTCTTACTTGTCTTAACTAAAAAAAAAATCTCAATAAATCATTGCTGATTCATGGAACTGCTATATAGCAAGATAAATCAGAATATTTAACATCAATCTCTACTGAAAACAGTAAAGACTATGAGAGCAAATAAAATTAATTGCTGACAAACTTGTTCAGTAGCACATGATAGATTGACGTATTTTGCAGAATGAGGTCAGTGGTAAATAACACAGTGAACTACCGGAGGTTTTGAACATTTAGCTTCTTTGTAAGCCTTAAAAATTTGTCCAGTTAATTTTCCCCCGTTTCAGGCTGACTAGCATCCATGTGGTAAAGTCGCTGAACGCTGGTAGTTCAGTCCGAGGTTCGAATCTATGAACGGGCTGGCTGCATGAGCATTTTTATGTTTCCCGATGTGTAACATGTATACAAGCTACTTTCCCTTGGAAAATCCTCCTTGAAGGCACCACTTTCCTTAGGAAGATAGCCCTCGAGGCTTTGCCGTAATTGTGTAAACCTTTCCCCATTCCATACTTTTTTTTATCACCATGAGTTCTGATGCAATCAACTCATTTCTTTATAAATTGTATTATGTTAATGATTTCTTGACTTCCTTGAATATTTTTGCCTGTAATTGTTTCATGCAGTCTAATCGTAAAAGCTAATTCTTTAATCATCTCAAGCTTAGTATTAACCTCTCAGATAAACAGCAGCATTTGGGCTGTATAAATAATGTTTGTTGACTTATCAGTAACCAATGAAAACAACTTGAATTTTTTTGCCTTGTCTTGATGTGATTCTTGATGTGGATCCTAACTTACTTAGCTCTTGTAACAATTTTCTGGCAGAATTATTGACAGTTCGAAACAAATGCAGTTTCTTTGGGCACATGTCTTTGGCTGCCACAAGCAACTGTGATTTAAATAATTCACTATGGGCAAATAGTGTCTGTTTCATTTAATAAATGAGTTTAAATTGAATTAGTAACTGCTGTATTATCATTTCTTAAAGCACAAAGGACATATGAACTGTAAGGTGATATTATATGATGAACCAAACAAACAGGACGTGGGAAATTTCACTCGCTTTCTGTTTGGCATACCGAATTCTAAGACCAAAACACTGTGCTTTTAAAGTACAACATTTGACAGTTATGGGTAATAAATAAACTGAAATGAAGCGAGCATTAGTAACTGTAACAGATAATAAATACCGCATATGCCTGTAAAGGAAAACTGACTAAAGTGATAAAATTTGTTCAATAGTAATGTCAAACGGCAAAATGCTGATGTGTAACCTGATGTGTGATCATTACTCCCAATTTCTCAACTCGAATGTTGGCCTAAATTGTTACTTTTGAATGATACATCGAGGATTTATTCAAAATTTTTTCAAGTAAAAAACAGTATTAAGCCAGGGACCAGATTAAAACATACAGTGAGCCATAGTTTGCCAATCCCTGGTGTAGGTTATCCAAATAATTTCCTCTGAATTTTTATGGTACTTTCTGATTGTCTCCACCCCCCACCCACTAAATATTACCAAGTGATTTCTGACTTCGTTAGCTGATAAAAAATGTTTGTGTGGATATCCTGTGGTTCATATGGCACCTGATAAAAAAATGTTTGTTAAAATATACTATGTTTCATATGTTACCTGATAAAATAATGTTTGTTTGAATATGCTTATGGCTCATATGTCTAGTCATAAGTAATAATACAGTAGAAGTCCAGAAATCTGCAACTCTTGGGACCAGAGGTTGTGCGGATTTTAGGATTTTGCAGATTTCAGACAGAAAAGATAATATTCAGACTAAAAGTGCAAAATAAATAAGGTGTATTAGATACATTTAATTAAATTATTATATGCATTAATACAATAATTAATTATATGACATTAATTATTGTTACATATATAAACTGATTATATTGTTCATTTACATTAGGCTCCTCTATTTTTAAATCAGCATGAATCTGCTTCCCCTTTTCTCTCAGGAGTAGTCCTGAAATAGGTACCCCATCACCCTATCACTCGCTTTCTGTAATAGGAACCACTCGCACAAGACAGCATCGAGGTTTGCTGATTTCGTCTCATGTAAAGATTTCCGGTTTCAGATTCCGGTGTTAGAATCACTGTTGCTGTAAAATTTCAACAGCTTTTCTTTATTGTGTATATCATACACAGTCCGTGTGGCAATTCCATACGATTCTGTTATAAACCGAGCCAATAGCACCTGCCTGCATCTTTAGCAGAATTTCCACTTTTTTCATTACCGTCAATGCAATGTGTTTATGTTTTTCAACGTTGCAAGCAGTAAAATTGCGAGTGCGTTTCTTATCTGTCATTGTATTAAAAAGCACTGAAATTAAAAATATTCTTAATTTATCCACAAAATATGCGGATAAAAACTAACAATCTCTTCACTAAACAATCTCGTGAAATAACAAAGCTCAGAAAGTACAACAAAGTGAGGCATGAACTTGAAAGAAAGAAGAGTTGAGTTAATAGTCTGCTTTTTACCTCGATGCAGATTGGAGGAAAAAAACTCTTATCATGATGTCAATAATTTGGTATTTCCGTTATGACTCATTATTATTCGGTAATTATGACGTCATTATCCAGTAAGTATTTTTTCTTCAATATTCCGTAGTCCATGTTGCAGTTTCTGGAACCTATGAACTAAATGTTTATATTTTGAGAGGTAGTGCAGATTTCAGGTTGGCTGATTTTTGGTATTTGATTGTAATAAGAAGCATTTTACAGAGGTGGGGGAACTTCATAAGAAGAACAATAGCTGATAGATACTTTTCAGAGAAATGATGATAATGTAAATGCACCTGTGTGATATGCATGTGTGGGTTGGGGTTATTGTTGCATATGAACCTCGAAAATATATTTAAAAAAAATCTGATGTGTACACCATGACTTCCTTGTACTGAATATTAAATTATACACAATTTTGCTGCATTTCATTTAAACATATTGAATTAGCAGTTAATGAATTTTTAATTAAATCTGCTTTGTGGATAGTTAACTCTTTAAAATTCACTATATTTATTTACCGTAGCGACACTTCGGCTCTAGGTTCACGCAGTAGCATTTACATCTCATTCATTTTATAACTCAGAGAGCACAAAAATTATATCATTCGAAGAATTACCACAAGTTCTATTCAAATACTATACTAAATCTAAAACGATGTATAAAAGAAATTAAACAAATAAAAACGAAACGGTTTTCCACAAATGATTCAGCGCCACTTACATAATATGCATGCACTACTAATTAATTCAGTTCTCACTTCGCGGCAAGGCAAAAATACATAAAAATTCAAAATATTATCATTAAAATTTGGAAGATACAGAAAAACATAAAACACCTAGCACAGTTAAAACAGTTATAAAAAAACAATTTTTACAATTCAAATTGCAGTTTCTACGCAAAAGCAAGCTAATAGCTTAAATGATAATTCCAGAATGAATTAAGCATAATTTAATTCGCAATAATTAAAGAAGCCGTTACTTTGCTGCTGCGAAGCTTAGTTTCTCTAGACTGGCAACAAGTACACTATTCTGCTAAGTTTCAAATGTAAACAAACATGGCTTCCATGGTAATCATAAATTAGGGTTAGCCACACTTAATTATTGCATGCAGGTTAACTATAGGCATAAAAATCTTAACCAGAACAACATAATTCAATCATTTTAAAGCAAAAAGTGTACAATTTACAAACATATAAGAATAAAAAAACTGAGCTCATTGAGCTGAGTAATAGAGTGAATATATATATACTTTTGGTACTGCCAATTGCAATCAGAATGGGAGGTGCACATCTACATGTTATAGCAGTCCTGTACACAAAATTTCAACATTCTGAGGCTACTCGTTTTTGAGTTATGCGAGATACGTACGTACGCCGCAAAAAAAATCTCTTCAGAATTCATTTTAAATCAGTTTAAAAAAATTTTTTTTGGAGGGGGGGAGTCTTTTATTCTGCCCTTACGTATAGATGTCACCCAAAAACATCGTTAAATTGCATTCGATAGCGGTCAAAATGGATATTTTCGTTGAAATATGATACCCAAAATTGTTTCTCATTACAATACTTCCTTTTTACTTTGTACGAGAAAGTAACAAGGCAGTTCTATCAAATATTAAAACCAGTGATGGAAATAATCAAAAAGTATCCTTTTTATTCAAAGGAAAAGATTAAATACTTTACCTGTTCCAGTTTTTATGTATATAATTTTCACATAATCTGACTCTTAATAAATTGGTATCTAAATTTGGCTTCATACAATTATTACATACCTAACCTAATGTATAGAAAAAAATCACAAATAGGAAGAATAAATCAGTTTCTGTTCGATAAAAGTAGGCTTCAAGCTTCTGTTTAATTTTTACAAAATATTTTGTAAAAATTAAACAAACAAACAAAAAAAAAAAAAAAAAAAATCCCTTTAATTAAAATCTTTAAATCATTGTTAATAACTAATGTGAAAATTATTCTTTATTTTTTAAATCTTTGCTAAGTGTTTTTAATTTTCATTTTATTTGCATTATTTATTCTAGGTTCGTGTAAGTCAAGATCAAGAACATTTTCTGTTACATCCGTATGGATTGCAATACCATGAAATCACTGCATCTTCATTATTGAAAGTAGACATGCAAGGCAATGTAATTGACCCTGGCACCACAAACTATACTTTCAGCCGTGCAGCCTTTGCTCTTCATTCAGCTATACATGCAGCTAGGCCTGATTTGAAATGTATTATTCAAGTCCACCATCCTCCCTGTATAGCTGTAAGTATTAATGAACTGTATTTACTTATGTTCTAGTCACTTTATGCAAGTTTATGTACTAAAATCCATAAATTTTTAATATCTGTCCAACTAGTTATTTAGCCATATTTGCATCTAATGCTGATTTGAAGAATTGATTACTTTAATAGGTATTTATCTGTGAGCAGTAAAATGAGTGGAGACAACCATATTGAAATTTCTTTTATTACTGCCACAACCTAGTTCCTATGTAGAGTTCATACTCCTGTAAAAAGTTTACTATAACTACTTCATTATGATATAAAGTCATTTTCTAGTATGACTTTGAGAACCTAATGATGAAGGAGAATAAAATTTCTAGTTTGTTTACTTAATTACAATAAGTTGACTTTAAAACTTTCGCTCTGTTTCCTGTTTTGTCCTGTTTGCCCCTTTCTTCCTGTTTCTCTGAAGGTAATTCATCCACAGTCAATTTTTATTGCTGTTTATGAAACTTTTAGTACTTTCTAGCTAAAGTCATAGTGTTTTAGTAATTCATCCTTGCCACAAAGCAATTCTGTCATCATTTTCTTCAAGCCAAATTCACGGTCACTTGTTACCTTCATTTATCAGTGGGAGTAGTAAACAATGAGCTGCCCAGATGGGATAGTGGTTAGTGACTCTGACTACTGGGGACAAGGCTTGAATCCCAGAGAAGGCATGGATGTCTGTAAATGTATAGCGTCTTTGTGGCATAGGGGCAGACTGTGGTGAGTCAAAGTCTTCTTGTCTGGTTTGATTGTATGGGAGAGGGGTGGGAGATCCTCAGACCACTCACCAGGGTGCTGTTCCTCAAATTTGGTGTGGGAAGTGGTGTCCAGCCTCTTTGAGGCTGTGACAACCACTCTTCCATGAAATATAGACTCGAAAACAATGAGAATATTAAAATCATGATATCAGGTCTCCAAGTGTTACTTTTAGGTTACCTCAAAATGCATTTAAAAATCATTTCTTATTGGATTGTATGTTCATTTCTGGATGTTGTTTGTTATCTGAGAAATATTTTTGGAATATTTATTCTTATACATTTAGAAACAAATAATGGGAAGTTTATCAACTGAGTTTTGGTTTCAAGTGAATGAGCTGGCTGCATGGAGATTTTGCCATGAATTGCATAATATAAACAGTTTTCTCTTAGAAATTCTTCCATGATGGCATCCCTTACCAGATGTAGATAAATAGTGTGTGCTTTGTTCTAATCAGTTTACCAACCAACCAACAGGTCATATTTAAGCCATGTCACATTAATGTCAAGTAGATAATGTAATAAAAGATTAATGTGGGTGTTTATCAATTATTCCTAGTGACTGAGGTGGCTGCATAGGATCTTCATAGTTTTCTTAATATTTAACATGAGTTGGTTTGTTTAGAAAATTTTCCATAGAGGCATTCCTCTTAAACAAAAGCTAATGATTATTGCACAGTCTACCACATTTAATTAGTTATTGATATCTTAGATGGCACCACTATGCTATTTTTGAATTCAAATGTGTAATAAAGTGACAGAAGGAGAAATTATTAAAATAATTACCAATTTTGTCCCATTATCTAAAAATTAAATAACTAAATAAAAGTGGTAAATCACATACTTATAATCATTACTGGCAGAAAATGGTTATTTTCTGTGCCATAAAAAATAATTTAATTGGTCTATTTTATTTTGGAATTATTTTCATCAAAAAGAACAGGCAAACATTAAGAAGCTTTAAATATGAAATCAAACAATAATTTTAATAGTGAAAATAAAATGTGTCCAGAATACATTAAGATATAAAATGATAGGGTATCCAAATTCACGAAGGTTATAAAGTATAAATAATGAACATGAATACATTCTAGGATGTACTGCCACCATTCATCTTAGTAATTTAATCAACCACTGTCCAAATTGGTGACAACTAAATGCTGTAGCAATTATTGGTAACTGAATAGGCTTGGCATGATGCATTAATGTATTAATGTGCATGCATAATATGCATTAATATGCATTAATGTGCATGCATATTTAATTTCTTGCTGCACCCCTGATTTGTCATTTTTAACAATTTCCTTCATTGTATAGGTTTCTGCTACTAAATGTGGACTATTGCCTATTAGTCAAGAAGCAGCAATCCTTGGTGAAATTAGTTATTGTGATTTCCATGGCGTGCCATCAGATCAGACCGACCGGGAGCTAATTGCTCGTAGTTTGGGACCAGTAAATAAGGTATTGTGTTTAAAGACTACCTGGAATGTATTTGATATTTTCCGATTATCTGAACCTCCACTAAAAAGCCATGAAAAAGTGTCAGTTAGGCAATATATGATGTCGCCAAAAAGTATTTCATATGGCAATCCATATGTGCACATAACACATATGTGTTTGATAATACATGGATTTCAAAAAATAAATTTTAATGAAAATCAAGAATTTGCACTCTTTTTATTACATGGAGTGCATTTAAATTTTAACTGCTCTTGGACAATTATCATGCTTGGTGCACTGTGCGTAGGTAATACACGCAAAAGTACCCAAACAAACATTTCTCTCAAAAGTTCCCTCTGTGCAACTTTTTGATGGGGATGCAGATAATCAGAAAGTACCTTTATGTTTTATTTGTTGTAACTTGGGTGGGAATAAGTACTTAAGGGTTTACTTTATTTGTTGTAACGTAGGAGGGAATAAGTACTTAAGGTTTACTTTATTTGTTGTAACTTAGGAGGGAATAAGTAAGAAGAACATGAAGTGTTGTTAGTATAGGGAAGGAAATAGTTCTAAGGACCTCTATACTCAGAAATACTTCCATGTTCACATATCGTGCATAAAATTGTATATTAAAAGAAAATGATTTTAATTTCATATTTCTTAGTTTTATTACACAATTTACTTTTCAGGTTAAAAATCTTGTTTAATGGAATTTTAGTTTTAAACAGATCTTCATAATGCATACCTGCTAACTCTTCAGTTTTACTAAAAGCAATCCTGTTTTACGTCACGTTTCCCGATACTTCACTGAATCTCACAGCTTTTAGTTTTTACTAAAGGAATGGTTTTCTAGTAGTAAATGAAGTTTATTAAATTAATGAAACTTAAATTATGCAGATTCCATTCTACATACCTCCTGATTTCTAGTGTAATTTTTCATATTAAGTTTTATTTGATCTGAAGTGTCTTAATCTATTGTAAATATTTGTAGAACTTTTACGTAGATTCAAGCAATTTTTAATCAGTTTATATTTATTTGTTTTGTATCAGTATATAGTACATTATTAAGTTTATCCACACAACAGTATGCACATTAATTATTCATTTTATTTTTATCATATTTAAACAGTGTAGCAGTTAGTAGCACTGACTGCCGTGTTAATGGCCCAGGCTTAAATTCCATAGAAGGCATTTATGTTTATAAACAACAAGTCTGTGTACAAGGAAGCATCCAAAATACATGGTCAACCAAAAGTCTTCTCAAGAGATTAATGGCAGACGAAGAGGGGTGGGAGACTCTCGGACTGTCCTCCCCTAGGGTGTTCTCCCTCAAAATTTTACCTGTTTTCACCTTCTGAAAGATTTGAAGGAAGAAGGTGTTGTGTAATGATCTAATGAGATTGTAATCTTTAGAGTAAGGTCGAAAGAATAGCTAAAATAATGTTTTCCAATCAAGTAATGTCCTGTAATTTTTTCCAGGTGGTTAAAATAAAATGAGGTCTGGTGTTGTCTTGATTAAAAGTAACATCTTTAAATTGATGAGTGCTGGCTGTTAAAATATATCAGTTCTTCCCTTAGTTTGTCCAAATGTTGACAGCAATGGTCTGCATTTATTGTTTGATGACATCTGAGTAGATTAATCTGTTGATATCCTACCTTATACTAAACAAAATGTTGTTTGGATGCACTTCTCTTTTTGAGGTTGATGATGCACGAACACTCGCCATACAGTCTTTCAGTGCTTGACATTAGAGTGAAGTATCCATTTTTCATCATCCATTACAATTTATTCCAAATATAGCCCACTTTTATAATGATTAAACAAACATAGGAATCATTCCCATCTGCTGCTGCTTCTCGGGAAACTGATGTTGAATTCATTGATTAAACTTTGTGATGTACCTAATGTGGCTACATCCATCTTTTGACTATTCTTTCTGTGTGCCGAAATTTTTTTCTGTTTGTTGTGAAATACTATGTGTACTTTAGTCTTTCATGACTTTGTCCAGACCTTCATCAAAGAAACCTCTGATTGACATCTCAAAAGTGGCATTATCTTTCTTCATCCCACAGCTTCTGAGACCAAGAGTAACATGTAATATTATCAACTGTATCTTCTCTGTACATTTGTCAAATGGTTCATCAAGTTACAACTGCAGTATATTGCTTCTATTAAACATGTGAAAAACATGTTAATTTTAATTTTATTATCATATGTTTGCCTTAAACTCCTAAACACATCATTTTCTGTGATAAACTTGGTACCATTATATGCTATATTGTTCCATTCTTAGCTTGTAAGAGATTCTTATCATTCAGAGTCATCTGTAATGTACATCATCTGATTTGCAAGTTTGCATAGAATTTTTGCACGTACCTAATATGTAGCGATGAAAAAGGAACTGGCTTGGATTAGAAAAAAGTTGCCTTAATATCCAGGTGATCTAATAACAAGGTTTGACATTCTTTCTATATAATTTTTACCCTTTTCTCCTGTGCTTAATTTAAAATATAGTAAGTGTAAAATATATAGCACTATCTTTTGAAAGGATCAAATATGCTTGGTACATTCTTGATTGGTACATCTGAGTGTTAGTATTTTAGCTATTTTCATTTTTTTTCTGGTTTTAAGTTAGATTGTACTTCCTAGAGAAAGTTTGAAAGAAAAGTAATTACATAAAATTCTTCAGGAATGATCATAATTTATTATTAAAATGCAGAGTATAAAAATACTTCAGGATTCAGTGGAATTTCATTTGAGAGATTTATTAATTTCTTTTTTATGTAAAATATATGTACAGTGAAACCTTGAGATACGAGTTTATTGGTTCCAGCATTGAGCTCATATAGTGAATTTCTCGTATCTAGAAACAAACTTCCCCGTTGAAAATAGCAGAAATCCAGTTATGCTGTTTGTTCCGCACCCCCAAAAATCTCATTACCATCTCATCTTCACTTGACGTACCTGGTTGTTTTTCGGAGAAGGTCAAAGTACAAATTCTTAGCCTCTAGCGGAAATGATAGTTCTGACACCAAATCTCCTTTTAACTACTTCTTATTAATCCAAATCAACAACAGCTTCTCAACATCTAGGAGTTTTGGACTGTGCTTTGATGTAACAGTAACTTCTTTGGCCACATCAAGTTTCTTAATTTCTTCCTTCTTCTTCAGAACAGTGCAGATCGCGGATGTCGAATGGCTGTAAGTCTTTGCTAATTCTATCACTCTTGCACCACGCTTATGTTTATCTATCATTTCTTTCTTAATTTCAATGGCCATGGCTTCCTTCTTTTTCTTTGCAGCAGTATCTGAGGCAACAATCTTCTTGGAAGGCATCGTGAAATAATTATTTTTTCATTAAAAGTAAAAAACAATTACCTCATAAGTGCACAAACACGTACATCAAAGAATACTTTGTGATCTGATGAGGGGTTCCCCAAGTCGAGCCGTATCGGGAAACGCGCTACACATACCAACAGCCTGGCTCGCTGCTTGTTACTCGAGTCAGTGCTCGTATATAGAGGTGCTCATATCTCAAGGTTCCACTGTATTTTAAAATTTTTTAGTTAACCTGTAACCAGATGGATAAGACTAATCACAGAGTTCCTCTTTAGTTTATCTCATTGCTAGTGAATGGCCAGGCTTCTTGTTGTTTTAGGTGGGTTATCCTTTGTTTATTTTGAATTGGGCCACACTTGCTTTGCAGGTCTCCTATGAAAGTTTTCTCTAAAACTTTCACTTGTTTTAACATGACAAAATAGTTACATAACTTTCCACGCATTAGGGAAACATGCATATAGTAGGGAAAATTGTTAATAAGTTATTAATTGCCATGCCTAAATGCAATCATTAATTTTATTCATATAAGCAAATATATCTTCATTGCTGTAATTTTCTGATTTCAGAATGGTTTAATAACCATGCTATTAAAACATGTAAGCTTCACATTTTATTTTTCTGTGTTGCTTAAATTTTTCATTTATTCAGCAGAGGCACTTAGCCTCATTCCTATGTTATATTTCTATTTAATGTGAAAGAAAAACATTTGAGACCATGCATTTTAGTTGATTATGTTCAAGACTGCTATTGTTAATAGTATATTTAGCTTTTTCTGTGTTTGTTTCTGCAACCTGCTTGATTTTTTGCTTGTAAAAATGCTTATGCAGAAATTTTTGCTATTTCTTTAGTATTTTCAGTTCACACAGCATGCATAAGGTTTCATATTATTCTTTGTTAAAATAATTTTAATGTTGTGTTTACTTGACACTTTTTATTGTGTTTGATGTCTGTCTAGCATAATCTTTTTCAATATGTTAACAGAAGGAATTTATGAATTTTTTGATTTTTGACACATTCTTAGTTTTATCAAAGTTAGTTTAGTTTTTTTCCATTATTTTAATCCTGATTTACAGATTCATTTATGTATGTATATTAACTGAAGAAATAATTCTGCTTCATAATTCAGGTTCTGATTTTACGTAACCGAGGTATTCTGATATGTGGAGAATCTATAGAGGAAGCTGTATTTATGTTGCATAAAGCTGTTGCTGCATGTGAAACTCAGGTGAGTTTTCTTTGTAATACTGGTTATTTTATGTCTAAATATGTGACTCTTATTAAAGTAGATTAAAGTAGAAATAAAGCTCTGTTATTTGTTTAGCTTTATGTAATATTTTAAAATATTTCAGCTTTATTCCTTCATTTGTCACAAAGAATAAGTATAAACTTATCTGGACAGAAAACCACAGTTTACTTGTGCATGAACCCTTATACTTGTTCTTAGGCGAAAGTAGTATGAGCTGCATATGTTTAGAAGCACTTGCTTTTATATGCTTTTTATATTGAGATGATGTAAGTGTACTGTTGTCCATAATGTTAAGAGGTTCTATTAATTTTTATGTTAAATGGGCCACTTTGAAAGACTTGAGAATGATGTATGGAATACCTATGACATAAAATACTTACATTCCTTGCAGAAGAACATCTTGATAATGCCGTATGAAAAGGATAATTTGCAACCTGTTGCCATCTGGTGTGAAGACCATTTCATATTTGCATAGTTAACATTTAATTCTAGAAAACTGTATATTTCAGTTCTGAATAGTTTTGGGCCATAACTTTCATGTATTTCTAAGATTTTCTTTATGAACTATAGTTTTCTGGTGGTTCAAGGAATATAAGAGGGAGTGATATTATTCAAAAAATAAAGATCTACTGCTTTAGCAAATTAAAAAAAAAGTGCCTGTAAGCAGATAGTGAAGAAGATAATTATGTAGCTTATATTAAAATTCAAGATATTCTAATACATAGCATGTTTTTTAAGTAAGGGCCATTTTGTTGTATACACTAGTATGTGTCTTGCAGGTAGCAACGAATGCTTGTGTCATGTCTCTGTATTCCTTGGAAACAACTGTGCTCAGTTGCAGCTGTGTGGGTAACCTGTACGGTCTGTTCTGTGTCTTTTTAAAATGTTCAAGATTATCGAATTGCTTGCCACGTGTGAGGTATGGTCAGTGATATGTTTTTTGTTGACAAGAAACCTGTCTTCACTTGAAGCAAAAATTCTTGAGAACAGACAGTTCACTATAAGCACTCTTTCAGACAAATTTCTTGAAATGTCTAGACTAGGATGTGAAAACATTCTTGACCTCTAAGTTATCTGAGCAAGTGGCAAGTTTCAATGAAGAGGGTATTCAAAATGTAGTTCTAAGGTATGATAAGTGTTTAAAGAAACTTGGCACTTATGTTGAAAAATAGAGAAATGAACAAGATGTGGCTATTAATTTCCAGGACTGCTCTAATAACACCAGAACAGATGATGTCAAAAATGTAACCTTTTAATATGTTTCGAAGTAATCCCCATCGGCCATAACACACTTCTGTCCTCGGCTATATAAGTTGTGGAAACAACTTTTAAAGTCCTCTTTCGGAAGGCTCTTCAATGTCGACGTAGCGTTCTTCCTGATGTCTTCAACATCCATGTTGAATGTTCGGTCACACTCTCTTGACTTGGTCACCGCAGACTTCTTTTTGTTTCCCAAACTCAAAACTGTGATCAAAGGAACACGCTTTGTGGATGTTGAAGACATCAGGAAGAATATTACGTCGACATTGAAGAGCCTTCCGAAAGAGGACTTTATATTTTTCATGAAAATCTTGGTGTTAAGAAACTTTATACTTAATGGATTCCTCATTGCCTGACAGCTTCCCCCAAAAAAAGGCTTGATTAGATAGGTGAAAAATATATGTTTCAGTGATTTGGCGAATGATTCCGTAACAAATAATGAATTTTGGTTTCATATTAAGATCCAGAAATTAAACAAAATATTTGCCTGGCATATGGGATTTGCCCGGTGAAGATCTTTTCATTAAGGTCTAAAAAAAGATGTGCTTGGAAGAAAATTTGCTTTTTCTTCTCTTGTACTAAGTTATATATTATAAAATGATAATTTAGTATTTTAAGAATTATATGGCCAGAAATAGGAGCATGGGGAATCCTAATAAATTATGAGAAAACAATAGCACTCTCTCTCAAAACCGGGGGGGGGGAAATAACTACATTAAAAAAATCTGAAAGCATTCAGATTTTATATTATGCCCAAAGGGGCATTTCTTTAACGTTTTGTGTGATACCTCTATTTATTAAATATGTTCTTCACATTTAAACCATAAAATTCAGTTCAACAGTACTATCGCAAAAGAATTTAAAAAGAGCATATCTTTAGAATTTCCGATACACAGTCTCGCATGCTGGAGGTAAAAATGTTCCGCCCCCTTCAGTGTTGCCATTGCTCACTTTGAAATCGTTGAGTTTGTTAATCAAAAATTCATTAAAGGGTTACAAAATATGAAATAAATAATAAAACATATTCCAAAATTTGGTCTTCCAGATGCCGATATTTGAGTGGAGGACTATGTTATTCAAAATTTATGTCTCTATTTGCTGCTGTTTTTTCACAGTACGAGAAACGTGTATACATTCATGCAAATTGTTAATTATGCAATTTCTTTAACTGTAATGCAGGGCTCTAATATTTGGTGGCAACAATTTGAAAAGTGAACCATCATTTATAGTGAATCAATGCAAAATGCCAAAAAGAAATTAATAGCCCATCTGTGGGTTCCTTTGGGCTAAAAAAAAAAAAAAGAGAAAGGAAAAAAGTTGTAAAAAGCTGTCAGGATTTTGTATTCATTTCCGTCTTCCTCATGATCTGTGTTTAGTTTAAAGTGACTTCTTCTTCAGTCTTTCCAATGTCAAGGAAAATATTTCTGGATAGAGATTTGAATCTCTTGAAAGATGTATACTGGTCTACACGAAATTTTTAGGCAGCATACCGAAGGGAGAATGTGAGTGATATTTAACAAGTGGTTTGATAGAAAGAGAAGTTGTATTTAGTGTAAGGGCCAAGACATCAAGAAAAGGCAATGGGAATTACTATATTTATGTATTTTAACATCAAATCTCAAGACATTCAGAGTAATCTTTCTGCTTAATTTCAGTTTTATGTTCTGATATTTATTTTAGTTAAATATATTTGCTTTCCTGGTACCGAACAGTGAATTTCAGTGTGAATTTTTCTTTTATTCTTATGTATTTTCATTTGAAAATATCTATAATTTTTGAATTTGTGAAGCTTCCATTTTGAGTTGATACTTATCTTTTTCTCCCCATGAAGGTGAGGTTGATGCCAATTGGTATTGATAATATACAGTTAATGTCTGAGGAAGCCATAAAACACGAAAGAGAAATTGTTACTTCTGGAGGTTATCCTCCTGAATTGAAAGACAGTGAGCCACCTGGTGGTGATGAAGACAAAGAGAGAGCAGAACCAAAGGAAAAACAAAAAAAGTGGAGAGTTTGGGATTTGGAATTTGAAGCACTTATGCGAATGCTAGACAATGCTGTAAGTAGCTTTTGCATTTAAGATGTAAATATGAAGAAATTGCCAAGGATAAATAAATTTATAATTTTCTCAAGATTATCCATTTTAATCTAACATGCAAAAATTGTACTGTTTTGCCATGTTTTATTGCAAAATGTAGAATATTATTTTGAAGAAAGTTGTGAAATCAAATAATTTTTGAAAGTAACATGTTTTATAATACTTTAATCATTGTTTAATTATTTCAGTTTGAAGTATGTGTTGCTAAAAATTGAAGAATTTTTTTAAAGGAACTCAACTTTTGTGATTTAAAGGGTAGTGTAGAAAAGCTATTTTAAAAATGATTTTATTTTAAAATAAAAGTAGGATACCTTTTTAACAAAGTCACTGGATCTCATGAATGGAAAATTCATTAAATGGAGAATTTGCAAAATATTATTTTAATGAATCTAGACAATAGTATAACATTTTCAGTCCTCAGTGCTGTTAATATAAATGGTATGGTATTAACTGTAATGTAGATCACTCGAATATTAATGTCGAAAATGTGTGCGTACATATGGCCATCTAGTTCACCAACATGTATTTTATTTAATTTATGTAGAGAGAGAAAACTATAATTTTTGATTGGATTGTTTGAAAGAGTTTTTCAGCCACAATATATATTTCAGATCTTTAAATATTAAAAAAACAACTATAATTATATTGCTTTCCTATTGAAGATTTCATCATATTTTAGCAAAGCGTAAATTATTTCATATTTTGGAGCATCTTGTAAATTTTGTTCTATATACAATTTCATCATCCTTTTGCATTGTTGCTGTTTTTAGCATTGTTCAGTGTATTTGCTTCTATATGATTTTTTGAAGTCTCAACATCATTATCTAGAAACGGAAATCATTTAACTGTTTATGTTAATAATTTAATTTTTAATTTTCAGGCATAAATAGTAATAAAATCATGGGCCATTGCTGATAAATTTATGAGGATAATGGATAGTATTTTTGATAGTGCAATAAAATGAATAGATTTTGTTATTTTAGACACCCATGCTTTTATTATTCTTGATATAAAATTATGGTTGATTGTGTTCATTAAATTATATGATAAATTATTTTTCTCCTTTTAGTTTTTTTTTTTTTTTTTTTTTTTTACAAAAGCTTATGTTTTTTTATAATTTGTATTATCTATTTAGTTTCATTGAGATATTGTCAATCAAATTACTCAATTGAAAATTTGTATGCAATACAATTTAAGAAAATCAACTTAGATGGAAATGCTGAGAGAAATATGTGTAAAATTTTGAAATGGGTAAAGAAAAAAAATGGAAGTTGTAAAAATGCAGTATAGATTCTTTGTGAATAATTTTACATGCAAATAAACCCTGAAATTATGTTATTTTTGATATCATAAATTCAAAGCTATCTGTACAAAAGTGATTCATGTGATGTCTTTGAAAGTAATTACATCTACAAGTGATGTGATGGCCAGAAGAACCAATCCTCCCTTTCTGTTTGAGACTAAAACAAATTTTTATATAAATGTCTTTTAAAATAATAATTTTTTAAATAAATAAATTATTGTTTTAAAACAGGGTAAAGTGTTGTTTCATAAACTCTAAAAATTTCAAAACTTTGTATTTGATGCATTTTTAGATGTTGAAATTTGAAAATCAAAGGGGTCAAATAGTTGAAAAAAATCAAGCAATTTTTCAAAATTTGCCAAAATTGAGAAATAAATTACAATTTTTATTTCAAAGATTTTTTCCTGCTCAATTTGATGGTGAAAAAAGTAAAGTTCTGATGTTCTTAGTCTAAGTAAAGAGATGTGCAAAAAATATTGTTTAAACATTAAGTAAAAATATTTGATGTGGCCAACATGACTTCATAATACCCCAGCTTATTAAATTACACACATTTTTTGCTGCACTTCATTTAAACTTATTTCCTGGAATTTCATTAGAGATATATTTCTAAATCAGCTTATTAATCAATTCAGCTTGCGGCAAGGCAAAAATACATAAAATTCAATCTTCATTAAAAATTGCAAAATACAGAAAAACGTAAAACAACAAATACAGTTGAAAACAGATACAAAACATTTTTTACAATTGAAATTAGAGTTTCTATGCCCAAACAAGCAGTTCAGCCAGTGGGTAGGAAGACAAAATTTTCAGTGCGCAAAATTGAAAGTTAACTTTTGGCCCTACTGGAGAAAAAAATATTGAAGTTGGTTCACCAACTGAATTTATTGTTCTGAGTGTCAAATGTAAACAAATGGTGACCACGTTAGGCTTAGCACCATTTAAACTTTTAAATTCTTGATAGGTCTAAAACTATTGCATGCAGACTCATGCAGGACTCATTTAGAATTGATACAAATTAAAAACTGGATTAAAATCATTCTGAACTTTTATTTATAACTATGTAGCAGATCAAATATTACTTAAATTAAGTAGAAATTAATTACTTTTAAAATGTTATTCATTTTTTAAAAGTTGTGCTTCACCAAAAACATTTTATAAAATGCTAAAAAAACTTGCATGATGTGTTTATAAGCTTTAGTCCCAGTGCTTTAGTGCTTTAAAATTAGTTGGAAAAGTAATACATGATTTTTTTTTTCTGGAAAATTAAAAGCATGAACTGTTATAAATAAATTAATCCTATAGGTAATAGTTTAATAATTACAGATAGTAATTTCTGATTTTGATGATTGGTTAAATTTTTTATAGGGTTTTCGAACTGGTTACACTTTCAAACAGCCAATGGTTCGTACTGATCAAGTTCGGCAGAAAAGTGAAGTTGAAGTACCACCATCAGCTTCATCCTATGCCCAATATTTTGGTGAAGACAAGTGGCTGAGGTAAACATTTATAAGATTTGAAAGTCATGTTATACTATGATAGAAAATTTTTATATCCAGAATTTTGATCTGCCTTCCAAGATCATGTTATTTTTTTTTATTCAGCATTATGATCTACTTTGCAAAATCATGTTATCATCTTTTTTTGAAAAAATAACTAAGTGTCAGACGCAATAATCATATGTAGTAAAAGCTTGCTTAATTCCAAGCTTTTTGTCATTTCTTGGCAATGACAAATGCTGATTAAGTGAAAATTCTGGATAGTTGAGTGTATAAAAGGTGCAGCTTCCAGTAGTCAAATAAATAGAAGAAGAATTTTCTGGCCTAAAATTATATAAATCATTTTATTTGTTATCTACTTGAATGTCAAAAGGCGGTATCTATGGTTATAACACAACTTAAACAGGAAATATTGTGTAGACTCGATGCACAGTGTGTAACGTTAGAGAATTGAAAGTTAATTGTATTTCGATTTTACATAAAGATTCTCCATTTACTTTACTTTTATATCCAAATCCTTTATAGTAAGCAGCAGCTGTAATATACACAGTGTCAAGAATTAAAGAACCCTATTTCAGAGCTCCCTGCAGGCAAAACCATTCATCGGAAAATTGTGAAATTTTGTGGCGAATTTATCGAAGGGATGGGAATGCCTTTCAGAGGGAAAAAATAGTTACAAATATTGCCAGTGAAAGGCATTGAATTAATAAATTAGACATTAAACCACACCTTTATAATAGTTTTAAAATTTTACTAATTTTATTACAGCAAAACATATTCTAAATGATGACCATCATTTTCAGTTCTCATCTGAACTCGCCAGAATTGCACATTCCAGTTGACCATAGTGTGTTGAGTTCCCACCTGTATCTTATATTTACTCAGAAATTTAGCACCATTATGAAGTATAAAAGCAGTATGTCGTAATGTATATAATGTCTGATTTTTCTAAAAAAGAGACAGATAATTTTAAAACTCTTTAACTCTACTTTCTGTTTGGTTCAAAGTTTTTTAGTTGGTAGTTTTAATAGTATTATAGATATTATTATTGTTTCAGTCCAAATGTCAGAGCTCGAGCCTTTTTTTGACTCATTTTTCATTTTATAGTTTTAAGTCCCAAAGAGGAAGAATTCTTTCAATAAGTACAATGAGCAAATTTTGTGGATTAATTTTATTAGATTTAGCACAATATATAATTCATTTATTCTGAATTCTATATTTTCGATATACACTCTTTTGCAAAAAAATCGAAGCACCAAGAAGGACTTTTGCGATCATAATGAAATTTGTTATACAAAAACATCCTGATTAAACGTGCAAATGATCAAAGTTTCAAGGAAAATGATTGCGATCATAGTGCGCATTTCTAGTGCTCAATTCACAAAGTATAAAACCAGTAATAGAGGAGGAAATTTATCTTCTTTTGTTGTTGCCATTGTAATTCCGTAAAGGAAGCAACTAAAGATGCAATTGTGACGATATCGAAGACCTTACAGAGAACTAAATGACTTCGAACATGGTTGCGTTGTAGGGTTGCGGGAAGCTGGATGCTCATTCTGAGCAATAGGCCGCCACCTGCAGCATACAGGCACTGCTGTGCAAAAGATGGTGACAGCAATGGTTGCTACAAGGAATTGCAGACGAAATGAGACTCGGAGGCCAGGAGCCAAATGTGAGGCAAGATAAGATGATTGTTCGCCAGGCCCGAACTGCTCCAATGGTATGATTGTTGACTATTCAATGCACTACAGCCACATCTATACCTCCATCTCACTGCGTTTGTCTGAGGCGAGGTTATGCTTACAGAGGCCTTTGACCCACAACATCGACAGAGTTGTATGGAGTGGTGTCACAGCCAATGATCATGGCTGCCATCAGACTGGCATTGCATAGCGTTCAGCGTTGAATCCTGCTTCACTCTTGAAGCAGATGACCACCGTGTTCGTGTCTGGAGAGGACAAGGCCAGCAATCCCAATCAGCTTTGTTTTACAAAGGTATAAAGCCATTACCCCCAGGTGTGATAGTGTGGGGCGCTATTTCTTACGACAGCAAGCCAACTTAGTCATCCTCTGTACATCTTTAACAGCTCAATGATATATCGATACCATCCTGCGGCTGGTTGCATTACCCTTCATGGCACGTCATCCTGGGGCCTTTTTCCAATAAAGATAATGCCAGGCCACATACAGCTTGCATATCTTTGGACTGTGTCCATGCAGGGTCACCAGACCTTTCACCAATCGAGCATGTCTGGGACATAGTAGGCCGCCAGATTCGGGCACCACAAAATATCGCAGATCTGGAGTGACAACTGATGAATGCCTGGCAGAATGTGTCGCAGGATGACATTAGGAACCTCTACCACTCCTTGCCTTGACGAATTCAATTACATTGCCAGCAGGGGTAGTTTGACCAACTACTAATTTGAACACTCAATGAGTGTTTGTGAGCCATGAACAGGTACTATGATCTTGATTTATTAATCATTGTATTATTTGTGTATGAGCTATACGCATATTCAATTTCATCAAAAACAACCACTTTCTTCATGGTGCTTCGATTTTTTTGCAAAAGAGTGTATAATTCATTTGGCACATTATGATATATAATTTATATCTATGTCATCACAAGTCATCAATATTTGCTGCACCAAAGAATTTTCTGAAGATTTTCCTTTTCAAAAACACCTTCGTACGTTTCCCATACCGTAGCTACAATCCATGTTTCAGAGTCATATGCCAGTATAAGGCTTGTATGGGTATATGTTTTGCATGAGTAATATCTTGAGTCAACAAACTGAAATGCCCAAGATGTATGTGATAATTATTAGTGTAAATCCAAATTGTAAAACAGGTAATGATTTTTTGATAAGTATTTGTAGTCATGAGATTATTCTGGGGAAAAAAAATGTATTGCAAACCAATGGAGCAAAAGAAACTAGATGCGTTTTTAAAATTTATTATAAAACTATTTATTTTTCATTTCCTAACTACTGTTTTCCAAACTGGAGTGAAATCCTTCTATGAAATAAACATGATATTAAAGAAAGAAAGAAATGTTCTCAGTATATAAAAATGTTTGACAAGTAAAAAATGTAGCACTTCACATGTATTCTGCAAGAAAGTATTATGCAGTGATCACTAGATCCAATAATGTGTGGTTTTAATAGACTTAAAAATGTATAAAGAATTAAGTAAATATTATTTTATGATTCATAAATAAAGCTGAAATAAAAAAAAAAAAAGGCATTGATTTACTGCTAGGAACCATACTTCAAAGCAATAGATAGCTAATATATTAAATTAATTTCAGCAGCTGGAGAATCTAATCAATTTTTAACAATTTTCCTGTAAATTGGGGATATATGTATATTTAGTCCATTTATGAGTCTGTAAATAGAATTTTGCATAGATCACCTGAAATGTGTTGTTTCATTTTTCATTTGAGTCTGTTGCTATTTGGCAAAATGTAAGATATTGTCTTTAAAATTTAATGTCTGTTATTGATTAATAAACCAAGCTAATAAAAAGCAATCGATACAGTTCTTAAGAATGTTTTTTTTTTTTTTCCTTTTTAATCGATTGATTTAAATAAAAATGTGTTTAATTCAGGTTCTAACTAATTAAAAACATTAAATTATTTTATAAAATTACGTTATACATATTTTAAATATTTAGAAGATTATGTAATGTTCCCATGTTAGTTTAAATGTGTATTCATCTAGTATACTATAAAATATTTTTCTATTCCATCATCTGTTCATAATCTCTACTGATAAAACATATTAAAGTTTAAAAGAGCACTTTTGTGTGACTATTAAAATATAATAACTAACTGATTTTTAAATTTTTTAAAGTTAATTTTGTAACTAAGTAAATTTTAAAATGTTTTTTTTTAAATCTTTTAGTCCCTTAAAGAAACTGGTAGAAGGCCGAAAAACTCAAGACAAGCTGCGTTGGGTGAATTCTCCAAATGTTTATCAAAAAGTAGAAGTTCTTGAAACTGGAACTCCTGATCCCAAAAAAATAACTAAGGTAGAAGCTTGATTTTTGTCACTTGTTATTGAAATTCTTTGCTTAAAAATTATTAGTCTGGTGATGATAGTAATATGCCAAAAAAAAGTACGGTCATAAAAAATGTAAAGTAAGAATTATAAGTTTGCTATAATCAGCATTATAATGGTCTTCATGTGGCTCAACACATAAATGTAATTTTTGCATTAATGATTTTGAACCATATCGTATTTGTATCCAAAGTTGTGAATACTTAATTTTTATTGGTGAATTAGAAGTATAATTGTTTTGGCTATCTGCAAATGTTTACATTTAGCATTCTTGTTAAGAGATGTATGTTTCAAAATTCGAAGCTTTAATTCATTCTTTGATGTACAGATGAGTATTTGTGTTTAACGTTTGTGTTAAAAAGTATTCTTATGCTGCATAATTTAACTTTGGAAGGCAGTAGAATTTTGTTGTTTCTTTTTTTATTGTGCATTTATTTACTTAGTAATTTGTTATGTAAAGTTTCATGTGGGACTGAATTTCTGATAAATATATTGTCAAATGTATGCTATTTTGATATAAACATAAACACTTGGTCATTTACCGAATTTGTGAATCTCTTCAATTATCTGATTTATCATATTTTATGATTTCTCTGAAAATAGTATGTCTTGTAAGGTTATTTCCTAAAAATGGTACAGTTTTAAGAAAGAACAAGATAAAAACATCAGCATATTCAATATGAACAAAAATTAAATTGATTTGTTAAAAATTAGGACATGTTTTTCAAAGGTATTAATTTTCTGGTTTACTTACATTGCGAATTGTAAAATATGTCTCATCAAGCTACAGTGTGACTAGGAATTTATTACTACATAAACTGATGTAAGAATACGTTTTAAAATTTTATATAGGAATAAATAATTGAAGATTGGTAAATGTTATAAAATGTTCTGGGCTGTTTGTAATAGTTTTCAATCTAAGAAAATTCCTTTTGTTAATTTAATTCTCAAATAAGACATTGTTTTTTTTTTTTTTTTTTTTTTTTTTTTTTTTTTTTTTTTTTTTTTAACTGAACTAAATTTTGGGGGGGGGGGAGGAATTTTGCCTTGAATGTCACATTTTTATTATTGTAATACAGCATTTACTTAATATCACAGAGATTTTCTGTATGTTTCCGTGCCTTTTTTTAACTGTACTAATGTCTTTTGAAATAATATTCATTACAATGTTCATACATTAATATATATATATTTTTGCTATGTTGTATTTTATTTCATTGCCCCTTTTAGTCTCTCAGCTCTGTAATTATTGGTTTTTTTTTGTCTCAAAGGCCATCAAATACAGAAAATCTGTTTAAAAAACTGGGCTTCATTTAATAATTATATACATATTAGCATATTATATGAATATATGTAATAAATATGTCTTTTGTGTGACGTAATCTTATTAAAAGAGAGAGCTCTTTATTTAATAAGATTGCAAATTTAACAAGTTTTTGCTTGCATTTTTTGGAAAATTGATTTAAAGTATATTGTCTGAATTTCAGTACTTCAGGTACGAAGAATGAAGGGTTTTATTTTCATTCACTAAAGCATTTTTAAGTGTGTATCTTGCAGCATCTGAACATTATTATTATTATGCTGCTTCTCTTTCTTAGAGATAAAAACAGTTTCATGTTTAGTGTAATATCCTTTTTATCTGAATGTAGTGGGACCTATTTTGCCAGTAATTAGATTGCTTTATGTAAACTGATGATTTTTTTACATTTGAGTCTTCAGAAGCATATGCGTATTTAAGCAAAAGTTACTCAATATATTTGCTGCTAGTGGCTTTTAAGCTTTTAGTCGCCTAATTTCTTTAGTTATAGGAATATTATTTTTGTAGTAACTTTATTAGTAATAATAATAGTACTAACAAATTTTATGGAGTTTTAGTTTGTCTTAAATATAGTTCACTTTGTATTTTTTATATTTTTCTTTATTATTTGAATTTGCATCATGCTTTCTGTGTTTTAGTTGTGTTCTATTTTATAGCACTTGATTTTTTTTTAAATCTACATTCCGTTTTTCTTTTATTTTCCCTCTTATATTTCAAACCTGAACAAGATCAGTTAAATTACATCATATTTAAGATCTGCTCACCAGTTATGCTCACGTAAATGGTTGTATCAAATATTTGAGAAGCATTTTGCTTATTAGTGAACAATATTTTTATGCATTTTTTTTTGTGTGCCGTTGTAGTGCTTAAATTTGCATAGAATATTTAGTGATATATATTTTTTATTTTTACATTTGTGTATTTCCTCATTTATATATCCTCAAAGTAGAGCTGCTTCATGTACGTTGCTTCAATGTAAATACAGAAAGTATTGTACATTCAAGTTCTTGTGCTGTGCATTTTGTACAGATGTGATGTTCTCACCATGAATCAAATATTGCTCATGTTTTGTGTGATTGATTTGTTTTGTAAACAATGTGTAGTATCCCATGTAGTTTGTATACAAATATTGAATAGCTTTAATATTTCTGTCAGCAGTTTAGGCATTTCATGTTAATTTCATTTTTTTAAAACTAGAAACTAGTAGATACACATTATTAGTTTTTTTAAAACTATAAACTAGTAGATACACATTATTAGTTTTTTTAAAACTATAAACTAGTAGATACGCATTATTCGAGGTTCCTAGAGTGATTCTCTTAGAAATCAGTTTGATTCTACATGCACTTTCAAGGAATTACTTGCACTTTATAGAAATATTTTACTGGTGAAATCAACAATTGGGTAAAAATATTGTCATGTTATTTATTGTACTAGTCAGGAACAGTATTACATACTTTTCAGCATTCATTAATATCTTATGTCATATACTTGAAAATCTGACCTAGTTTTTCTTTTAAATCTCAGCTGTGTTATATATTATTTATGTGATTGGTATTAGTGAGGTATTGTTAATAATAGATTTTGTTGTCTAGAAATGTGATATGGATCTTTAAGCTATTTTTCTAAATAAGACAAAGTAATCAAAGAAACATTAGAACATAATCTATTGAATCTAATGATGATATGGAAATTTTTTATGCCTTCTAATATTGTTGTTTTCTCTAAATGAAACTTTACTTCTGACATTAATTTATAGTTTATGAGACAAAATGATCTGAAGTCAAAAATTTCAGCTAATAATATTGATAATAATCTTATATATATATATATATATATATATATATACCTGTTCTAGAGAGAGCAATGCCTAGTCAGTCTCTAAAAATAGAATCTTGAAAAGTTCAGGTTATTTTTAAATTGTTGTTGATTGCATTAGAAGGTTTTGTCTTTTCATATACATATACTCTGAAAACCTATTTGTATATAACACTTAATATGTAAATATAGGCATAGTGTCTTTTGCACTTACTAATGACTGCTTTAATATTAATACTTGCTGAATTCTAAGAATTTTTTTACAGTTTTTGGACAAATTAACTTATGTAGCTATAATTTAACACACAGAGAATGAAATATTCAGTTTTCATTGATGATTATTAATTTAGTGTTTTCTCAGATTACAATACACTTTTTAAGTAGGATATATGAAGAACTATGTTGCAGAAGGATTTCACTTGTTTTTATTGTTAAAATGTGATTAGTGTATTTTAAAAGCATTTAACCATTATTTGTGTTCTATAAGATTGTGAAATTGATAGAAATTGTTAACAATTTCATGTAAGAAATAATTATTTATTTCTCATTCTCATTATATTGGCAGTTTGTGATGATATGTATCGTTTGGTACATCATTGTCAACACTTATAATAATATAGAGGGAATCTTAGAAATGGAAAGATTGCATTTTGAATTACGGAGAAGAATGTTTTTGTATCTTGTATTAAGTACTCAGCAATAATGCAGTTAGTAACTTTTTTCTTGTACATGCAGTTTGTAAAATGTCTCTGGATTTTGATTATCTTTTAATGTAAAGTAGTAGTATGAAAAATTCTTTCCAGGAAAAAAAAAAAAAATCTCATGAATATCTCATGAATTATGATAACATTTTAATATAAAGTAGTAGGGGAGAAAATTCTATCCAAGAATATTTTCAATTTCTTTTTATGCTTTTATTTTTAATTATATAAATTTAGTTATTCAAAAACATTTAAGTTTATATTTTCTTGTTTGCATTTATTGTTGTGTGTGTTAACAGAAAAATGTAATATTCTTTTTATGGCAACTAAGCATTTCTCATAATACATTTGTGGTTAATGTGATGCTGTTGCTTTTCTAACTATATATAATGTTTCAAAATGGAAATTTTTCATATAACACATTTCTTTTTTTAAATGAATATTATTGTGAATGTGCATGCTCTTTGGCTTCTGTGTAACAAGATTTAATGCTATTAAAATTTACTCATAATGAAAGCTTCAATGTCTTAATTTTGTGTTTAGTAACTGTGTGATAACTAAATTTACTACCACGGCCTGTGAATTTCATCTATTAAAAACAGGTTTATTGCTTCTTTTGTGTGCATGATTTTACTTATACATTAAAATTACTTCTAGTTGTGTCATTAAGCTTAATCTGAAAAATATACATTTTGTAATTAACACTTTCTTATATATAACATATAAACATTTAATACACATGTAATAAATTTTTGTAGTATAATTTACCATATAAAAATTGTACAAACTGGGAAAAAAATTGGAATAGGCATGTATTTTTAAAAAATGAAAAACTGGTATTTTTTCATAACAATAATTTAAGTCACATTATTTTGAAATCTTGTGCAGTTAATGTCAATTTTTATCTTTAAAAACAAGTATTACTAATAGTTAAAAATCCTGCTGAATATGTCAACATTTTGAACTGTACATTCCAGAATGCAGTAATTTAAATATGCCATAATTTAAAAAATTATATCTGTTAATATTATTTTGAAGCGGCGAATCATGTTTTTCAAATACCAAGTGCAAAAATATATGATCAATTCAGAAACTTTTCATAACAATTCAGAAAATTTTAAAAACATAAATTTTTCATGATCTTTTTCTGTACCCACTATTTCCTTTTCATTTAGTTTCTTTCCACTTTTCAAGAAATTTCTTTTTCATTTAATATTTGTCTATAATTTGTTTTACAAAAGGTCTTCTGCCATTTTAAATTTAATTTTAAACTTGCTCTTTAATGAATTTTCTTTTGATTTTTATATCTGAAAGTCTATTTATTATTATCTTTCTGTTACCATTCCTTTTAATTACGTATATATCTTTTAATAAAAATAGAAATCTTATTTAAATTGTAAAATTTAATAATTTTTTTGAAATCAGTGCTTTGTAGTGTAATATATTTCCTTTATATTGAATATGTTTTGGCAAAATAAAAGCAGTGTAAAATGTATGTGATTTGGGTTAAATTGATGTTGAATTGACTTAGAATGGTTAGAAATTATTAAAATCATCTTTCATTTCCATTTCTAAACTGCTGTTCTGGCTGTGCTAACATTTTTCAGTTCTAATTGTAATTAAATGCCTAAGATTATTTTAAAGCTTAACCTCATGGTTAATTTTTGCATTATCTGGCTTATGTGTAAATTTATTATAAACTAAAATTTTCGATCAATTTATTACATGGCAGAAAACCTTACAGACTGTGTATAAAACCTGTTTTCTTTTATATTCTGTTAGCTTTTTATGTTAAACCTTTTCTTTGATATTTTCCCTTTTCTTTCTTTTTCCTACAGTGGGTACAGGAGGGTTCACCTTCGCACAGTACAGCTATCAAAATTCAGACTCCACATCAGTTCATTCCCAAATCTAGTGACATTGGAGAATTTAAACGCAAACAGAAGGAGGTCAGTTTATACCCTCATTATTTGCATAATGGTTGTTTCATTGTTGAACTGAATATTATTAAAAATGATTTATCAGTATATAGCAAAATTAAATTTGAAATAGAATTTAATTATTATCCTGATATTCTCTTTGAGAATTGAGAGAAATTTGATTTGTATGTGATGATATATCTTTTGTGGAAATGAGTTTACTCACTATTCAAATGCAAAATCCAGTCTGACTCATCTTTCAAATACCTTATCTAGAGTTACTTACATGGCCAAGTTCACTTAGTGACTCACAAGTTACTTAGCTAAGTGAGATGTTCAGTAAATACATATAATAGCACAGTGTTGACTTTGGCACAATTTGACTTTTTTTATAAAAAGAATAATGCATTGTAATTACGAAGAATTTAATATTATTACTTACATATTCTACATTTTAATTAGGTATTTATTCCCAAAATCAATAAACTTTTTTGAAGGCATCCTTTTTTTTTCAGGGGATGGGAGGATATTCTGTTGTAATCAGTATGAATATCACTTTAGGAACATACATTTAATTACCAAGATTTAAAACATGGGTTCCCTTTAGCGACAGTATGACAACTGTATTTTCGGAAAACTTTCACCGCAGTTTCATCCATTGCAGGCAAATCTCGTAAGTTTATATTTTAAATTAAATTTCAGATAAAAATTGTCATAATTTGCCTATGAAACTATTAGAACTTGGCTTACAACAAACTCAAGACATAAAACTATGGTGACACTGTAAGTAAGAAAATATGTTAAATATTCTACTGTGCTAAAAGTAAAGAATTGTTATGCTCATGGTTGCTAGAACAGAGCAGTTTAAAAAAATTTTCCGAGTTTTGCAAGGTAGTTGAACTAATAGTATGTTACATAAATACCCAGTATGTAGTATTACTGTTAAGATACAACATCCATTCTTGCTTAAAATGCAATTATATTTTATTAATCTGATGAACCAGATCTTTTACTTTCTTCATTATACCAAGAGAATTATCTGAATTCTTAAAACAAAACCTTTAACAACTTGGTTGTATAAAGACTAGTAGTGTGTTATCAGCATCACAATCGGTCTAGTGTAACAGCATTTTTGCAATTACAGCAGCGTTTGTTGCCAAGCATTTCAAATCAGATTAAATGATTCTCATTATCCTCTGTTGATAAAGTACTAATTCAAACTTTTAAACTACTGTTCTATGAATTTAAATCAGTTTGTCTCAAATGAAGTTGAAATATAAAACTAATTTTTCAAATTTCCTTTATTTGTGTATATGCTATATGACACAATATATAGCAGTGGAATTAATGTTTTTTAGATTTTTCTATCAACGTAGAAATTAATTTTACTAATTTCCTGTTTTAGAATATGTAACCAGTAACTAAATAAATGGAAACATTTTTCAGAATTTCTAATTTAAACACAATGGAATTCTGAATTAATGAGTTTGAGATTCGAATTTTATGTCTACTGTAAAGAGAGTAATAAGCTTAAAACTTTTATGCTAAAATATATAGGAATAATTTAATATTATAGCATTTCATTTTTCCTGCATAAGTTAAATTATTTGTCATTATTAAAATTCAAAGTTATAGAAATTCATTTTACACATTACAAATTGAATCCTTGTATATTTGCTTCTACTTATACTCAAATGCTATTACAATTCTGTAACTGAAATCGAAAAAGAATGAAGTTTCTTTTAAAGGTTGCATATATATACTGCATTAAACCATAATTACATCAATGAAATGTACTATTTTTCTTCCCCCTGATAAGGGGGCCTGGTAGGTTAACACAGTAGAGAGTCGCGCAAAGTCGACTCCCAATATCTCGACATTCCATATAACTTGACAACGTTTTAGAAACTTTTTTAAGATATCTCTAGGTCAAACAGAGCAAATATTACATACAGTACATATAATTATTATTTATGCATATGTCTTTCCTATTCTGTTCAAAGATTTGAGTGTTCTTTTTCTATAATTTTTGCCATTTTCACATTGTGCCATTAATTCTTGGAACTGCTGAACAAATTTCAAGATATGTTGTAATAACTGGCAACGCTGGTTGCTTCTTCGGAATGAGTTGAGAGACAATCTACCATCACACGATATTTTTATACCAAAAACTACTAATAATTTTTCTTCATTTTTGCATGTAAGATTTTTTATATTCTTTATTTTACTCAATTCTTAGGGTATTTGTTCTTTTTATAACTCCTATTCTTCTAGAACTTGACATAAAAAATCAACATTAATTTAATAGTATGCTGTACTTTCCGTGCTCAATACTGTGCTACATATGTCTAAAGTAATTCACAGTTAAATATTCAGAGTTCTGAAAAACCCACTCCTTATTCCATAAAACTCAATTTTTTTGAAACTCTACATCTGTCAGTCCACGTTATGCTGAGTTTGCGAGACTCTATTGTAGTTACTAATAGCTTACTCAGAAATGTTTCTCATTTTCTAAATATCATACGCAAATAACAAATTAAATGTATTTATAAATAAACTGGTAACTATCAAGTATTGGTGGAGACTAGAAGGAAATATGTTAATATTGCATATAAACTGTAATAGCATAATATCATGCTGAATTGTAATTGGTTCACATGTTCTATGAAGGTCTCATGCTTCATATCTTTCTTATGCTTCTTCAGTTTCATCTGATTATTATATTATTAATGGATTAATAATTAGGTTCAAAAAAATTTCAGTGCTAACAAATTGCATGAGAAATGAGATACACAATTTTTAAAATGTTCTGTTATTTTTTTAACTCTGCATTTATTGAGTTCTAAGATATTATGTGAGCTAAAAAGGGGGTGAAATTCTGTTTGATTTTGATGTGACTAAACTGTGCAGAATTGTTAGAAGAGATGAAATACATATTATTAAACTAACAGATCTTCATTAATACAGTGCTAACACAAAATAGATTCGTTCTTATATATCATACCAGCAAAAGAGACACACTGGTGAGTTATTAATACAGTAACTTAACTAATACTTCTTGCTCATTTACTTATTTGATTTCTCGTTTACATGAAGAGATGTACAAATTCAAGAATATGAATTTCCAGTCCTGCCAATTCATATCTTGGAAGCAAAGGGTCTTTGATTTACTAAAGAGTGACTAAGCAATTCCTCAGGCTATCAGTTTGCTGCAGACAGAACCATAAGTCTCCTATACATTATTTCTTCACTGTGAAAAGTTTCGCCTTTGGAAAGTTCTTTCTGGCATCATCCTGATTAAAGATCCAGTTTCATATCTCTACAAGCTGTCTTTATTTAAATTTAGCACATCAGCTTGCCATTATTAAATTCTACAAGAATTTTGAAATATTTTATTCAAATATATTTGATGCATTTGGCATCACTTAATTTTTTTTAATAATTTACATTTTGAATGAAATTGACAACTTTAAAGTAATAAATATAGATTAAATCTGCATACAAGGGAGTATTTAATAATATGATTAATGCATTTCTTCATACAGAGCTAATTGACAATTCATAAAATGTGTAAGCAAAGATATAAGTAATAATCTGTAAACATGAGAATAATAGTAATACATGTCAAATAAGCTGTTTGGTTTATTTCATTATGGCAAAGCACTCGAGGCTATCTGCCTAAGAGAAGAGATGCCCTCTTGTAGGACTTTCTAAGGGAAACTCTCCTACATAGGCATTACACATGGGGAAAACCACAAAAATGCCCATGCAAAAATGCCCCTTTGCCTGGAATCGAAACCAGGTTGAACTGCCAGTGTTCAGAAATTTTTTCATTCAGTCGCTGGTGGGTCATGACAGATAGGAATGAATTATTTGGAAATTGCAGATGCATAATTGTTGAAATAAAAACAAAAATCACACAGCAATTAAATAATAATAATAATAATAATAAAAACCAGATATTCACTCTTAATTTAGCATCCAAATGGCAAAGCAATATGAGAAATAAAAAGAAGTGTACTGTGAAATTATACATACATTTCACTGAGGCTGGGAGATAGAGTGTACAATTTCATTAAGTGCATTTCTGACTTGGCCAATGCTTTCACAAAACAGTTTTCAAAATTTTTCTAACTAGACAGAAAGCCAAAATTAATTTATTAATAGTAAAATTTTTTTTATTAATTTAAATTTGGTCATGGTATGTGATTTAAATTTTTGCAAAAAGAAAACTTTTAATGTGCTCGCAAACCTCCAATATGAATATTGCATTTTAGTAGACACTTTTTACTAGTGCACAGTTTCTGAATCACCTGACTGTGGAACTAAGAAATGAACATTCTCCATTTAATGAGCACTTTCTGTGTTCCCATGAATGTGCAATAGCAGGAGATTCTACTGTTTCTTAGTTTAAAGGTAACTCTCACTTCAACCAAGTTATTAACCCTTCACATTCTAGTATCCAGTAAAATTGGACAAATAATAAGTACAGACCATAAAGAGTCAAAGTATATAGGAAGGGATGTTGAAAAGTTCCTGGAATTTTCTTCTAACTCTTTATTACCTCAGTATAGGTACACATTTGCTTAATCACCTTCAAAGTAAGCTTCTCCAGGACACACAAACTTGTGTGAATGTTTTAACCCCTTAACCGCCGCGGGCGTATATATACGCCTGCTCAGCCGATGCGTTAACTCGCCCAGATGCGCAGCCGATGCGTTAACTTTGCGAATAATTTTAGGTGTAGCAGCGCAAAGCAAATGATAGCAGTTTGGAAGGACGTATATATACGCCTGGGGCAGTTAACGCATCGGCTGAGCAAGGCGTATATATACGCCCGCGGCAGTTAAGGGGTTAAAATGTTCGATTGCAATCAACTGCCAGTTTCAGTTTGATCTGGGTTCAGCAGCTGCGAGATAAATTTTGCACTGACACGTTTCATCTTAAAATCATCTTGACAGGATTGCTCAGGGACCCTACTAGGGTTTCCCTTATTTTGCATAACAAATAAGCAGTCTTGAATTGCAGTAAGGCTGCTTTCTTTAGAGAATCATTACCGTAACCTGTTTGTAAGACTCTGAAGCAGATTTCCCCAATCCTCGCATAAACTTGATGCTCGCCCTTTGCTCGAACTTCAACATCACACCATCTGATCATCGCACACTCCTACCTGAATTCGTAACAACCTGGCTATTATGAATTCCAGTAGTAAATAAGTATCGTGGTAGTTAAAAAAATTAATTTTTTGTGGTAATTAAAGAATTATAACAAAATTCCAGGAAATTTTTGACTCCCATTGTATATATATATATATATATATATATGTTATTAATTTAGTAGAAGTAGATTAAACCAACTTAGGAAAATTCGTAAATTGTAAGAATAAAAAGCAAAAGTTAAGTAATTAAGGAAATCTTAAGCAGCTCTAGTTTCTTGATTTTAAAGATTTTTTACTCTCATTTACAACTGCATTATATATATATATATATATATATAAACATTCAAGGCAGATTTGAACATTTCATTGGCTTAATGAAAAATTTAGCATTTTTAACTGCTCTGAAAAAGGCATTGGTTCATGGACACATCTTGATGATGTGTCTTATTTACTAATTCCTCTATGTTTATTTAATACTGTCAAGGCCTAATTTTTAAAATTGGAAGTGCGGAGCCCTACGCAAGACCATCAGGAACGAGGAACAAGAGCAAATAAATAATTAAAATCATTAATAATGTAAATTAATTAGTTTATCACTAGATTAATAATTAATTAATAATTATGAAGTTAATTAATAATGGTTAGTCATTAAAATAATTAAATAGTTAAAGATTAAAGTAATTAAATGATTAAATTAAATGTACAGATATAAATTAAAATCTAATAAACGATTTGTAATATAATTTTATTGATAAAAATAAAATTTTCAAGATCAGAATTTCTACTGAAATTGTTGTTTGGTACATAGAAGAAGTGCCGGAGCCTTCTTATTTAGGGCACCGATGCGCTCCATCTAGAATTATGATTTATCCGAAAAACTAAGAAGTATCAGAGCCGGGCTTCGGTGCGCTCTGGCTCAATTTAAGTTTTGAATGCTCTACTTTTTCTGATTAAAATATTTATTCTTTTGTGCTAACAAAAAATATAAATTTAATTTAGAACTTTTCTTCACAAAGCATTTTTCAATTTCCATTCTCAGTATAAAAGGTATTGCAGGTTTTGGGTGTGGGAAATTTTGTTTTCTGTGAAAGTATAGCTATGAGAGTTATATTATTATACCAGGAACAAATGGTCTAAATGTGATATCTTTTCTGTAAGAATGAAATATTACATGGAATATATTTATATCCCATATAATGGTTTTAGAAAAAGTTTACTATATATCTCCATTTCAAATAAAACCGAGACTGATGAAAATCTTTCTAAGTCAATGGATAAAACTAATGTGGGATTTGTAACCTTTCTTAGCGAATTACAGAATCAGTATAAAGTAGATTATTTGAATTTGTCCCTCATTATTTTCTTTTCTAGAGCTTACTGGATGTTCTACAAAGCCATCATCTCTCATAGGGATCCATGGAGATATCTCCCTAAGAGGAGGCCTTGTTTTAGTTACATAATCTAATCTAACCCTTTTTTTTTCATTCTTATATGGATTTCTCTCTGTCCCTCCAATTAATTCTGGAGGAAGTATATAGCAGAAATCTATTTTATGTGTATAACAGAAGTTATGGCTGAATGCATTGGTCACTTAGCTCTTACCATCCAGAATTTGCTGGTTGCGTCACAGAGGGTGATTGAAATGTGTGTGTGTGTTGAAACCATAGTCTTCTGCATGATAAAGAAGAATAGAAGTAATGATTTGCAAAATGTCTCAGATGTTTTTGCAAAGGGTCCTATTAGATATGTGAATTAATTTTGAATGCTTGTGTGTATTCAGTGAATTAAACAGTTTTCATTTTGTTGTTTTTGAGGGAATTCAAATACATCTAATAAATATTTAAAAATATTATTATTATTATTTTTAAAAAACATGTTTTATTTATCAGACACAATTTAAAAATACTATTATTGTATTTAAATTCTGAATAAAAAGTATTGTAAAACAAGATTTTAATGTATGTATATGTTTGAGAAAAGGTCCAAAATTTGTTTTTAAAGCTGACTTAATGAATGTTTCGTTATCACTAAGTTTATTTTCTTCTTTCTGTCTGTCTTTTTGTTTTCTTATGTTTTCATTTCATTAGACTAAGGTTTATTATACACTATTTTTTTTTTTCCATGGAGGGGTAATATAAAGCTTTGGCCGTGTAAAATAGTTTTGATAAAATTTATAACTCATTTATTCTTTATGATAAATTTTCACCAAATGTATGCCTAGATTCTAGAAGTTTTTCAAACAAATGCATTCTGCTTGTTCTGAATAGTTGAAAGAAAATAGAATGAAGGCAAAAGTAACAGCTGGTCCTCAGTCCAATCTTTTAGAAGGTGTTACGTGGGAAGAAATACGAAAAATGCAGGTAAGCGTGGGTGCTTATTTTTATTTTAATTGTTTTGATTGTATGGTTATTTCAGATTTTGAAAAAATGCCTTAAATAAAAAAATAATATAGAGTGGAAGGTCATATGTTGTTAATATGACTGTTCTCATTTATCTGACTGAATTAAGCTGAGGAATTTATTATGGCAAGAAGTACAAGATTGCATCTGTTGTTGGCAAGAACCTTGAACACCATACTGGTGACAGTTTGACCTTGCTCAGTTCTACTTCCATTTTGAAGAAGGGCACCCTGGGGGATAGGTCAGAAGGTCTCCTACTAACCTTTCAAGAGGACTTCCAACTCACCATATCTTTGGAGAGCTCCCATGCCACACAGAAACTATACGTTTACAAATAGGAGCCTTCTCCCAGGCAATTAGCATCACTAACCACTTTCCAATCTAGGTGGCAAAGTCATAATGTATTACTATTAATTGAATATTTTCTGTCATTATTCTATTGAATAAATTCTCAAATTATCATATAAAAATCAGCAAATATTGTTTAGCCTTAATACAAAATGAAAGCATGACCCTAATACCAAGAAATAATAAATTTTATTGATTAGAACATTGAATTGCATATTTATTGATTAGAACTTAAAAAAAAATTTGCAGATTATTCTACAATTAATCATCACTTTTTAATTCTCTTATAAGGTTTTGGCTAACATCTCTATATTGAAGTACCTTATCTTGCTGTGGCAAAATATTGCTTTTGTGCCTTACTGGACTTAATTTCAATAATGATGACTTGTTTGACTTATTGTCAAGAACAAAGACTTAATTTCAATAATGCACAGTAATAAAATTCAAAGAATTATTTTTGTGTGTACAAAGTATAATTTATAAGAATTTTAATTAGTACAAAAATTATTATTAATTATTAATCGGTGAAAAACAAAAACACATTGCAGGCAGATTACAGTATGTCATGATAAGATCAAATATCAAAATGCCCATCTTCATTCATGGCTGCAGTTACTGAACTCAAATGCACAATCAATACCTAGCATGTCACTCAGTCCCAAACTAAACCTTTCTTGTTTTTATTTTTATTTGAACATCTAAGGAAACATTGTCTTCATGGCAAGCAGTTCAGCTCAACCTCCAAACTCAGAAGAATAGTAAAATTTTTTTTTTTTTTTTTTTTTTTTTTAACAGAGTGCACTTCAGTCTTGAAAGGAAAGGTAGATAAAACTTGATATCTTTTAAGATTATGCAATTTTTTTTTAACAGATTTTATCTGTTGATGAACTTATGTACTTTTTCATTCTTGTTAAGTCATAATACTCACATTAAATTTAATTCTGAACTAAAAAACTGTAACATTCCAAAATAGTTATAATAGTTATAATATGTAGTACAACTTGTGAGTCAAATATAGTTATTAGAAACATAAGTAAACTGTAATGAGAGGTTTCTTGCCATAATTTGGTTTTCTAAGAAAGATAACTTTTCTTGATAAAGTAAACCATTGCATAATACATTAAGAGCATTTTTTTATATAAAATCACGGAACAGGGAGAAGCAGGCAGGTACCAGGAATTTTTCCAATAATTGTATAGGTGTAGCAATTAAAGAAGTTCCAAAGTGGAAATTTTAATCTAAGTCAAGCTTAGAAGTTGGACTTTAAGGGAAAATGCTAATACTGTCAAATCTATGTATCATCAATGAAGAAATAGTGGAAAACTCTCAGTCAAAAGTGAAGAGCAGCAGTTCACTTGAAATGAATAGGAAAGATTTCTGGTACTGGTATTTTTATTGCATATGAACTCACAGCTGTAAAACACCAGCAAGAACTACTGACATGCTTTCATCTGTTCACAACAAATGGGTGGAGTGTTTTCCAAGGTGCTTGTGATTGAAATTGAAAAAAACATTCCTTCTGCTGATTTTAAAAGTTACGATATTTTAAAAGCATATTTTAAAAATTTATTTTAAAAGTTACGATAACAAGTCTACACTTTGATTGACAAGTCTTCAATAGCATATCATAGTTGGAAATTTAATCATAATTTTGACTTTGGTTCTGCAAAAATTATCCAAAAGGCTTCTTCCGTTGGTGAATTGGATTTTCTTGAGGCGTTTCATATTCACTAGAATTTAACATGTTTAGTGAATGATTTTAAGTCCAATCCAGTCATTCCTAATGCCTTTAAAATTCTTTAATATTTTCCCTGATAGATGGCATTGCCTCCTCACGTTTGGTACAACCGGAGGGTATAAAATGCCGTTACAGAGGTTGCTTCTCCTATATTCGAGGTTCAGACTTGGCGTGTGAAGGTGCAGTTGCCCCTCGCTCCCCATTTTTTGACTTCACTGATTTGTTTGCTTTTTAGCCTATGTTTTATATGTTTGATCAGATAGCCTGGCTCAGTAAAAGTAGGTGGCCAGTGTAAATCTAATTCAAAATCTGGTTACGACCACATGTGTGCTGATAATGACCACATGTTTCTGAGATTCCTTTGCCAATGCTTTATTTTTCTTTTTCTCTTTTCTAGTAATTTTGTTCTCCTGATGAGGAGGGACCTTTAGCTGCCCTCGAAATCGATTGAGTGTTTTAATATATGTACGCTAAATACAAGGTTGTTATTGCAATTTTAATAAATTTAGTATAACAGACTTATAAAGGGCCCCATATCTCAAAAAGCTTAGGGCTTTATCAAGTCTAAATCCAGCTCTGCCTGTACTTTCCCACATTCATTAAAATATAGTTTTTCAGCATATTATCAACTTTAATATATTTTTAATATAAGTCTTTTTTTAAAGTTTATTTAAAAAGCTTTTAATTTTATGGCTTTTATTAATATAAGTTAATAAATTTATCAAATGTATAGTGAAATTTAGAATTAGATTTACAAAATTTATAACTGTAATTTCAGGATACAGTAGAAAGTCCGAGATCCAGAATCCTCGAGACTTCGGCGATTTTGGTTCAAAGATTAGATCATTAGTTTAAATCTAGAAAGATGGCATGTTGAAGTTATATAACTAAAGATATGAAATAGTGGTTTATGACATAAGGAACCATTTATGATCTTAAGGAAATCAAAATTTACAGAAAATGCTCAGAATGCTGAGTATTTGTTTGTTTCATTAAATATTTCTTTCAGTATAACGTGTTTGAGTTTTTTTTTTTTTTTTTTTTTTTTTTCTTTTTTTTTCTTTGTCGCTAATACTTTCTTTTTAATTCTAGAGATAGACATAAATTCTTGTTTAGTTAACAAACCTCCATTTTTAAGTCATATAATTGCCGTGTCCAAAATTCTCACTAAGTTGACAATTGAAATTTTTTGTTCTTAATAATCTCTTTGTCATTTTCTTCACAATCGATAGTGATATTTTCTGGATTTAGAACCATTCTATAGATTTAACCATATGATAGTCAAACATGATTGTGGTATTGTAATCACAATGGAAAACTTCTGTTACATCATCTTCATTTATTATCACTTCTCCACATTTTTTCATAAATTCCATTAATTAGAAAATTTTGCTCTTTGTTTATGATATCTGAAAACCTTCAAATTAACAGCTATCATCATAAAGCTTAGCTAACCTCTGCTATACTTTATTGGCGATGTATCATGAGATTGGGGACTAAAGACATGCTGTTCTACTAAATTTTGTTTAGCTTCTATGACTCATTAACAAAGCCTGAATTATATTAGTTTAGTTATTCATTGTATTTTCTCATACATTGTTTACATTATGCTTAGTTTAATTATTCATTATGCTTCCTATTTCCTGCAAATGCTTAAGACTTATATAGGTCCCAAATAAATATATTCCCACATATACTTAAGAGTTATTCAGGGCTAGCATTGGACATTGTGTTGCCCATTGCAGTCTCTGTGAGTCCTAAATTCCTAAATTTACCTTAAATTCTAAAAATTGTGCCTTCTCAAAGTTCTACAGATTTTTATTATCTCTTAATTTTGTTGCTTGAATTTCTTTAAATTCTAAAAATTTAGCTCCCCTAAATTCTGTGGCTTGATGTGGCTGCAGTAGTTCTAGCACTATTCCTGGCCTTATCTGAATTATTTAAACAGCACTAATTTTTTTTTTCCTATGAGTATCATTTACAAAATCTATTTTTTTTGCATGTGGAAAGAAATTTCTGCTAAGTTTCTCCATGTCAGCACACTGAACACATCGTGGCTTAATAGCTGAAGTATGTAATGTTCAGCAAGTATTATTATGTCAACGTGAAAGGTTACTATGAGTTCAGTGTCTAATATTTAAAAAAAAAAAATTTTTTTGGAGCTGCATGAGTCATGTGTGTTGGTAGTTACATGGTGATGAAAGCAAAATGTAATAAATAATTCTCCAGTTTGGCGTCTTAGATATAAATTATTCAATAGGTGTAAAATCAATGATGTTTTGAAGTAAAATATTTTGGTTTGTGTTGTATACTGGGCAAAAAGTCAGCTATGGAGCCAGATATTGTTCAAACATATTTATGCTAAAGAATATGCTAATAAAATGATTGTTTCTTCAATATGGAGGTATTTTATTGATTACTGATCTGGACTTTCCACTGGGCAAAGCATAACAAAAAATAAATAAATAAAATAAAAAATATATTAAAAAAGTCGCTGTTGGTTTGGAGATCCAAATTTTTTATCATTCCGGATTTTGCGGGTGCAAATTTCAGACTTTGTACAGTACAGTAAAATTTTTATTTCTCTTTTAGAGTAGTTAAATGGGTTGAATTAATTTTTTTCCTTTCATTTTATATTAGGATGCCATGGTAAATGCTGCTGGGGACCAAGTTGTTTTAGTTGGTGCTGCATCCAAAGGTATTATTCAGCGAGAGTTCCAGCACAATGCAATGGTATATAAGAGTGCCTATTCCAAGAATCCATTTGACAATATCACTGAGGAAGATTTAGAAGAATACAAAAAAATTGTTGAAAGGAAGCAACGGGGAGAATCAAGTTAGTAAAAGTATTTATATTTGTTATAGTTACGTCTGAGAAGAATTTATAAAATTTTGAATTTAGGGAAATGAGAGTTCCTTTATTTTAATGCATCTTAGTGAGAAACAACTAAACTCATTTTGTGCATATTGTTGTTAAAAATCTGGAAACAACTAAACTCATTTTGTGCATATTGTTGTTAAAAATCTGGAAACAACTAAACTCATTTTGCACAGACTGTTATTAGAGTGTGGGAAATAACTAAACTCATTTCTTCTGAATCATCAATGGGTTTTTTGGTGACAGAGTGATTTTTTTTTACAATAACTTAACTAACCTTTTTTTTACAGTGTATTCTTAAAAAGGGACCATGATAAAATAGAATGTGATGCTAAAGAATTTGCCAGAATGAGCTTATCAATGATGATTCTAGTGATGACAAAATTATCCCATGTCTTTGGACCTTTTTCTGATCTAGAATTTCAAGCAGTTTTGATCCAAGCCCAGACTCAGATGATTCTGAAGAAGAATGTATGTTAGTAGACAGTTCACCAGTCATGGAAGAGTCTTTTAGGCAGCTCAGAATAAATACAGAAAATGCTCTGCTTAGTATAGTGTATATGCTACATTAAAATATCAAATTTATTCCTGAAAGCACCCTGGAAAAAATCAATATGAAGGAGTAAAGCAACATTACTATATTGTTGGTCAATCATAGTCCCATTTGCAACCACATATAGGAGCATGTGGTAATTGGTCTGATGCTATACTTACCATGATACTGCATTTTGGTCCCTTTTCTGGATATTTTCTGATCAGTAAACAGTACCACTCTCACACCAAATCAGTTTGTGTCTACATGCTGATGACATACTGAAGCTACTCTAATCTGGGGATATTATACAAACACAGCCCTGTTCAATCCGATTGCGATGCCCAGACACCATTGCGAGCACACAATGGAATGCTGTCGGAACAATGGGATGCACAAAACAGATCTGCAGGCATATCGTCCTCCTTCACCCAAACATCTGGCTACGGATTTTCAGGAGATTCATGTTACTGTATCAGCCAGAAAAGGGCAATTTACCTTGTGCTGTAAGCATCTGACAACACTATGTATATTATATACCATCAAAATCTGGCATTAGAAAAAAAGCAATAAAGTACAGTTCTTCAAGGAGATTTTACGTAGACACGAGGAAGCATATATTATAACCCATCGTGGGGACTAGAAAAAAGAAAAGTACTTTATGACAATGTTGTCTGCACTCCATCAAGAAAATACACAGTGTAATGCAGTATATGTGTAAATTTTGCAATGTATGCTTGAAAAAAGGAAAGCGGTTTGAAAAATATCACACTTTAAAACATTGTTAATTTTTTTTTTTTTTTTTGAGAAAGCATTTTTATTTTTTGACCCTTTAATGGACAGTTGTTTTACCATGAAGCACACCAAATCACACCAAACTGATTTGGTGTGATTTGGTGTGAGAAGTAATTTGCATACTAATTGCAAAAAGTCACCCACTATGTGTTGAGAATTAAAGATATATTAAGATGATGCAGAAAATATTTTCTGTTTTAGAAAATTAATTAATGATTTGAGGTCTGCTTTGAATGCAGGGCTTCTTTCAATTGTGGCTTGTGCAGCATCATAAATCTACTTTTGTTTTATGTGTGAAATACTGTATTATCAGAAAACATGAAAGTGTTATCATTTCCTTGAGGTACTTTGAGGAATTTTTGATAAAAAAGTATAATTTGAAAACAAAATTTTGGTAATGAAAAGATATCTGGAATCTGAAATGTTTATGTATAAAATCAAACAGTCATTTCAATCAGAAGACTTAGGTTTAATTATTAAAAACTAACAAATTATTTAATGGTAAAACTTTGTGTTGTAAATAAATTTTTTCTCCTGAAATTTTAAATAACTATTTTAAATAAAAATTTTATGTTATATGAAACATAAAATTTTAATACATTGTGATGTATTGAAACATTTAACACATTGTGTGTCATTGAAATACATTGTGATGTATAAAATACATTTCATTCATATTAAAGATATAATGGATACAAAAAGAAATATAATAAAAATACAATTGATTGGTGGTGGATATAAGAATAAGTAATACAGAAGGTAATACAGTGATATATTATGGTTATTTTAAGCATATAGGTGGCATAAGCGTATAGGCATATAGGTATATAGGCCATTAAGTATATAGATAGAAAGAGTGTAATTTAAAGCTCTTTATGAAAGATACAACATTGTAAATGAAAAATAAATAATAGAGTAAAGTACAATTTAATTAAAAAATAATCATAAATAACTAATATTTTTTATTACTAACAAGAGCCTGGAAAATAAAATGGTGTAATAAAATGCAGCTAAATAAGCATTTATAAAAGTATTAATAGAAATGTGTCATTCTGTCACGTTTTCCTACAGTCTGTTGAGGAAAGAACTTTTTCATAACCTAAGACATATTTCGAATTTTAGCCCTGCATTATAAATATTTATTTTTTAACTTTATAAAGAATAATATAGTAAATATATAATAATAAAACTAATATATAATAAATAAGGTTTATACAAATAAATAAAATAATATTATAAATATGAAACAGTATAAATAAATAAAAACAATTTTTAAAAAATATAATATATTTGTATATTATATTATTTTTCAAATTTATAAATTCATTATTTATTTTGCTATTTATAAAAGATATAATAAGAAAATTTTTGGTCATTTTTGTAGTTGAAGAAGATGTTCCAGATGACATTAAACCACTCCTTGTGGAACCAGTAGCACAACCTCAGAAATCTCAGCAAGCTTCTCCGCCCAAATCAAGATCACCTCCACCTTCTCCAGCTTCTCCATATGCTGCCAAGAGTAATCAAATTTTATAATTTAAAAAAATAATTTAGAATTAGGGATTAAAATATGAATTTTTTTTAGAAAATTGTGTATTTCTTTATTTAGTTTTCTTACGTGTTGAATTTGAATGCACAGGGAAAATATTGAGTGAATTAGATAATTTTTTACAAGAATGATGCTGTTATTTTGATCATTGAGGAAATACAGAGGGTGTTCACACATTTTTAGAATGACTCCACGGCTGTTTAAAATGTAAAGAGTATTTTTTTTAAATGTTTGATCTGATAGCCTTTTTCCTGAACTTGAAATCTGCATGTGATTTCTGTGTTAGAAGGGCTTTTCATAAAGGGCGTTACAGACACTTTGATTTCAATTCCTCTTCAACTACTTTCCTGTTGTGGGTTTGTGCTTAGAAAGACCTCTTTTCAAGAAACCAAAGTCACAACACCCACTCTTCTTATTTTTAATTAACCATGGTAAGATAATCCTGTGGCAATCATAAACCCCTCACTGAAACTTTGTTTTGCATTAGCAGAACTAGTTTTGTACATTTTTTTCATGCTGTATCAATGAACATGTTGTATTTCATTTTATCTCATGCTAAATAGTTTTCATATAGAGTTCTACAAATTATTCTTCGTTGAGCTACATGCCTCCACAAAAGCTGGTGAACATTATGTTTTTTTTTTTCCAATTTTCTAAGGTCTAAATCTTTATTATTTTATTTATTATTGCTATAGATGTATTTAAAGACTTCACAATTGATTTCTGCATTGTCAGATTTTTCTGTTGCCACAAACGATTTAACTTAGCATTAGAAATTAACATTAGAAACAGTGTGTACCTTTTTCGGGTATTCATTTGAGATCTTCTTTCTATGTAGGAATGATGATTGATGGCTTTTCCCTTTCAAATCAATAACGTTCTTATTTTGCAATTAGGAATTTTCATTTTTGAATTATGGAATATGCATATTTCTCTAGAAATCCCAAAAGCATTTCCTTCAATCCACAACTTGTGTATGTGTGACATTATGAAAGAAAAATAAAGTAGTAGACAATATTTCAGATTTCAAAATAAGTTATTGCCAAAAATTTTATTCGAAAACATTTTTCTTTTTTTAATTATTTATTGAAATCATTCTAAAAATGTGTAAATATCCTCTGTATATCATCTGGATGTATTATTTTTTATGCAGTTGTAATTTCTTGAATTTGGTATCATAAATATGTTACAAATGCCAGTAAATAATGTTCATCAGACACTAAAGAAATATTGTGGTGCTCTACATAATAAATGCCTCTCATATTGAAGTTTAGGTTAGGTTATTTAATTACGGCAAAGCCTCGAGGGCTATCTGCCTAAGGGGAGGGATGCCTTTGTGGAGGACTTTCTAAGGGAAACTGGCTCGTATACATGTTACACATGGGGAAAACTACAAAAACACCCATGCAGCCAGCCCATTCGTGGGATTCGAACCTTGGACGGAAATACCAGTGTTCAGTGGCTTTATTGCTCGGCCGCTGGTGGGCAACCTCTCATATTGAATGTCCTACATAATGAATGGGCATATGGACTGAAAAATTTCCAGTGTAATGGATTGAGCTGCATATAAATTTCGTCATCCTTTAAATGCAAAGCAAAACTTCTTTTGCTCAACATTTATGTGGTGCATAAATACAATAAGTAGCTTGTGCATAAATAAATATAATAATGGCATTCCACTAAGAACTAAAAGGAGTCACTGATTTGTTTGAAAACAGCATCATTCATTATCAAGATAGTCTTGAAGGAAAGTAAGATTATTTGTAATAATTTCTAAAACCCACTTATTAAAAAGAAGATAAATGATAGTTATGTGCAAGAAGGTAAGGAGTCATTGAGTCTTCTGCCTTCAGCAGAAAACTTAGCTTACCTGATACTCATGACTAGCTACATGACCAGATTTTGCACTTGCACTTCTTTGAGCTGATAACTTTCTTCCTGATTCTTGCTTCTCACTGTCCTGAAGCAAATTCCTTTACAGTACAGATGCCTTGCACACTGCCATTACTGCTTTCAGATGCCATTTGACTAAATGCACATTGCCATGTCTGAAATTATGCTATTACACTCATTTAAATTATGATCATTGTTCATGGAGAATTGCTGTTATTCATCAATAACTTTATCTCTGTTTTAAACAGTGCAGCTCATTACATTCCAATTACTAAATGACAGTACTTTCTCACATGGCATCTGAAATGTTTGTCTTTGATAGCTGTTTTTCACATGTGTTTCAGCCTTCTGTCACCTTTATCCTTCTTCTGAGATAGCTGCAATAAAGCTATGATTTATTATTGCACGTTAAAAATTGTGAGGCTGTAATATATTTATAATGTATATAAATAAATAAATCACTTCATTTCAACATCAGTGGTATATTTTAATTAGTGTGCATTAAATGGTTGAACTGTATTGGCTTGAATGTGAGACAGTTTTGCATGTATGAACTTAATATATTCTAGATGTTTTACAAGAATAATTAAAAGATCTAAACAATATACCTTCAATTAAAATGAAGTAAATAAGTACAGTGAAAAGTCGTTAATCCGGACACCCATAATTCGGAATGATGTATAAAAACCTCAAAGCTACAAACTTTCTGCACATGCATCAACGCATAATGCATTCACACATGTGCATAGGCTTTTATGCATGTGCAAAATACTTTTACGCATGCGCGTAATACATTTACGCATGCGTGTTTAATGTATAGCGGATGGTATAAGCTAAGCTAAAATTATCTAATTATCTATTTCAGTTAATGTTGCAGATTACATTGTTCCTTAATCTTCGAATTGGATCCGGCTTATTATTTTTTGCAGACTGTTAGAGCAATTTTATAAAAGTAAACTTGAACTTTCGATTATGTCAAATAGAATTTCCGATGATGGAACTGCCAAAGGATCTACAAAGCAAAAGTATGTTTCGATGTCCATCAAATTGCTGCAAAAAGTGGATAAAGGCATATCCTTTGTTTCTCTAACCATTCCGAAATCTGTTCATCAATTTCACGCTGCTCTGTGATGGTGGGGGGGGGACTTCGCAGCACGCAATGAATTGGAAGTTGATCTCTTAGCACTATCCTTATCTTCAGGGCAAATGTTTCTATTTTATTTGGCTTATAATTCCTTACTAAATGTAGTATTTCATCTCGATGTACTCCGCCTTTGACGTACCTTTTTATATGATTTAAATCAAATTCCTCGTCATTGTAATTCGCTTCTGATAGTGAAGAAAGTGACACAGAGGTTAATGAAAATGAAAAAATTTTGATTGACAAATTAGTTGGTATTCTCGACACAGCAATTATAGGACTTGAACAGCGGAACTTTGTAACTGAACAAGAAATTTCTGTTTATAGAATTAAAGAGAAAGTATTATCACATAAAACGAAGCAACTTAAACAATTTACGTTGAAAGAAATGTTTAATAAAGTAAACAAATAAATATTAAGCTTTTTTTTTTTTTTTTTTTTTTTTTTGTAAATTTTGATACCCTTTAGATCATAATTGTTCTTTATTTCATAAATTACGGTTTCATATTTTTAATTTTCTAATTTCTGTATGCCATCTTATCAGATTTAAACTGATGATCTATAATCCGGAAAAATCGATAATCCGGAATCGCTGAAGTCCCGACGAGTCCGGATTAAAGACTTTTTACTGTATTTTCTTTGATAAAAAAAATAAAGAGATAAATTTAATTAATTTTAATGTATTTTTTAAATGTTCATTTAATGGTTTTTAAATGTTAAATTGTTTATGGTTTTTAGAAAGGCACTGAGGAAAAAAGAAACATTGTCTTATATTGGAGCCTTTGAAATAATGCCAAATGTGTAATAATAACAATCTTAACTATGCAGTAATACCAATCTTAACAATTTTTAATTCTTTTAATTTAGAATTCATTATGAATAACAGTGTACTTAAGTCGTAAAATAATGTGCATGTTAATTGGATAATGCAAACATGCATTTCATTTTAGGTAAAGATTCAGAAAATGTGGCAGTTCAGAGAGCTCTTTCATCCCGTATTGCTGAGCAAGGTATAGTTTTATTCTTATGATGTTGCATGAATTATGATAGCAGAACTTTCTTTGATGATGCTTAAGGAATGTTTTTTTCACATTCATTTATTTTGCACATTTTTATTGACTTGCAAAAGTGAGATAGCAAATTTGGAGTCCTTCTTATTAGCATGACTGTATAACAATATCATTGCTAAAAAAAAGATTCTTTCATGAGAAAAATATTTACAACTCCTCGGCACTTATTTCTAAGGAACTAAACCTGCTAATATCATGCTACCTTAAGAAGCATGTTTTGAGGAAACCCAAATTGAAGAGGAATTTCAGTCAAATTGAAGAGGAATTGATTAACTCCTTGAGGAAAGTCCTTAAAGGAAACTCAAATTCTTGCTAGGGATATTCAAACTAAACTAAAGGTACTTTTTATGACCTCCTTTTAAGTACTGCACAACTGCTAAAGTCTTTTGATGTCCACATTAAATTTGCTGATGTATTTCATTAAGAATGTCAGTAACCAAGAACTACTTTAGCTTTCAAAGCTATTAATGCTTTCTATTTTTAACTAGATTACATGCATGCAAATTGATTGTTCTGGTTTGAGTAGTTGTGCTTGTGCCTGAACTGGGATTTCTTGTGATCTGTTTCCATTTTACTCCAGCAAAAGGTCATGGCATTTCATTTGGCATAAAATTTGAAGGCTTAGCCATTGTTTTATACACTGCAATGATGTGTTCATCAGTTTTCAGTAGCTGTTATTTTTAGTTCCAAAACTGCACTACAGGCCTCAGCCCTTGGCATTTGCATAAATGTGAGCATTGTTGTTAATTTAACTGTAAAAAAGGAAATGATTTTTTGCAATAGACTCATGCACTGCAGGAAAAGCAATAAAAGCAATCACTTGGCTAAAGGAAACAGCTGCCGTATAGATCTCTGTTAACTCTTGTATTCAATAAAACTGATTTGGGAATGGTTTAAAACCAGACTTGAAAAAGAGTTGTGGGTATCTAGTTTTTCATTTTCTGTTGGAATGTAATTGTAATGTTCTGGGCTGTCTTAGACAGTAGGATGTTTTGCATGTATCACTATACCTGACTATCTTGCTTGACATTTTTACTGTATCAATGTTCTTCTTTATTACTACTGCATGCCTAATGACCTCCATGAGGATATGGACGTGATCTGATCCGTTTCATTGCTTCATTTGAATAAGAATTTTTAGAGGGGAAGGTCTGTGAACTTTTAGTTTTTTAAGTTTTGTCCTCTGTATCTATTTTTAGTTCCATATATGTGTTTCTGGATATTTGTGTTATTATAAACCATTAGAATGCCTTTGGAATTAAGCACTAGCTGCATCTATATACCAATTTTTATGACATAACAGTTTGTTTTCTTTTTAAAGTGCAATATGTTTTATTTTGTTAAATTTTCTGCATGCTTTATCTCACAGCATGATGTATTTCAACAAATTGCATGTGTTTTTAGAACCTTTAGAAAAGAAACCAAACTTCTTCAAACGCACATTTTCTGAAAGGCTATCTAAGACAAAATGTGAGTAATTGTATTATTGTATTTTTTTAGTATTTTTATTTGCAAGTTTATGCAAGCGTTTTATATTTGTATTCTTATATGCTTTCATTTTATGAGGAATTAATTAAAATTTATTATATTTGCATAATATAAACTGGTGAATGTTTCGTAAAAAGTTTACATTGCTTAGTAAGATTTCAAAATCTTGATTGGTTAGAAGTTACCAATATTATTTTCAAGCTGTTCTCACTGGCAATAAACAATTTCTCGTGGATTTTACAAATTTCAATTGTTGATGCATCAAATTCTTATAAGCTAAAATTTATACCGCCTTGTGGTTTAAAACCAACATTTGTATCGATTAGTTTCGTAAAAGTGTTTTTCTTTACTATTTTCTTGAATCAGAAATGAGGGGACTGGTACTTTCTGATTATCTGTATGCCTGATTTTAACATTAAATAACTTCTTGTAAAGATGTAATCGTTTGGTATCTAATAACACAGCTTATACCTGACTTATGAATTCAGCCATTTTTATTTATTTAGGTATTTCAATCCAAAATTAATCAAGAATGTGTTGTAAAAAATTTTGTAGCCTCGAAATTTCACAACAAACTAATAAAAGTAGAGAGCAAAATGATTTCTCTTACATTGTATCCAACGCAGCATCAAGCGAGATGATAGTTAATTAACTTGTAACCCAAAAAAAAGTTGTAAATGGAAATTGTAATTGAAACACATTTTATTTACATGAAAATAGATTAAGATTTGTTCTATTCCAAATATATATGTCAAAAGAAAGTTATCTAATAGAGAGTGTCATATCACTGCCCTTTCCTGAAGGAGTGAGAAAAAGAAAGAGTAAAGAATAGGTGATTTGCACAATTAACTCCTTTGCAGGGTTTCCAGTTCATAATCTTTATCATGCTATTGGCGACAGTCCATCACCATATGTATACCAACAGAATGACAATATTGATTTTTACAACTTGATATTTCAAATTGTATTTCTAAATGAATTGTTGACTATGAAACTTGAAAACTATAAAAAAAACAAATTGAAATTAATGCTATGAAAACATGTGTGAAGAGCAGTGGCGGCTCGTGGCTAAAATTAGTGGGAGTGCTGTTCCAAAAAAATTTAACCTTTGTTTTAAAATTGTGTGAAAGGAAACAAGCATGTATAAAAAGAAAATTTATTTTGAAACATCAGGAATTCTTACAATAAAAAATTAAGCATTTCTTAATTACTTTAACGAAAATTTTTACAGTTCACTCTTTGCCTATTCATTTAAAAATGAAATCCATTCTTCTTGTTTTACTTTGCGTGAAACAATCAATAATTTTCTCCTTGATTTCTGGATGACAACTGAGAAAATTTTTCTTTATTGAAAGCAATGCAAGCGCATGTAGTCTTTCTGAATTCTAGTGTTTCTTAGAACAGTTTTCATTCTTTTCAATGTTGAAAAGCAGCGTTCTGCCTCTGATGTAGCCATGGGAAGAGAATTTTTATCATTTTCGTAATTCCACTAAGAACATCATCTAGATTATTTTCGAAGATAAATTTCAGTAGTTCATATAATTTGCAGTATTCATGGATATCAGACCTTTAATAGAATACTTTTAGTTCAAGCTTTTCTTTGTCAATCATTGGATATGCTTCAGTGGTCAGTACTATGTCTTCTGTAAAATATTCATTCCTAAAACTAGCGAAGCATTTCTTGTTTAACAATTTAGATATCTCTGCATTATATCAATACATAGTATAAAGTCACATATTTCCTTCTTCTATTCTTCTGCCATCAGTGTCTTTGGAAAATTCTCACTGTACTTTTGAGTTTCTTAATTCTAAGATAGCAGTTTTGGAATTTGTTATATATTCGTTAACTTTAAACACACTAATTTCTCTGAATTGCATTTGATTGTATATTATTTCAACAGAGGCATCTGATATAAAAAGCTCTAACCAAAACTTGAAATTATCATCATTTAGATATTTTAAAATTCCTATTGCTTTTGCAATAGGAACAGTTGTTTCATTTGTTGTTGTTCTGCATTTGATATTGATTGAATTTCACTAAGGCAATTTTTTAAAAGGGTTGCAAATTTTTTATGAACTCTGTTTATAGGTCCCGTATGATGAAAGTTCCCACCTTGTGGAGGAATACCACACGCGCGGAGTAAAAAGAAATCACTTTTCGAACAACATGCCAGAATTTCGGCACTGCAAGAGCAACAGTGCTCTTCTCTCTCCCCGGCTCGCGTGCTGCTTTCTGTGTGCGCGTGCGCAGAACAGCCAAACACCACATCGCTGGAACTGTGAAGCGCGCAGTTCCAAAGACTTTCGTACCTTTTTCACAAAGTGGGGATGGCTATTGACATAAAGCTTAGGGATTATGTATATTGTAAAAGTATAAAGAAATAATTAAAGACTAAAGGGACTATATTAAATATTAAAAATAATAATAAGTGGAAATTGGGGGTGCTGCTGTTCCACAGTGCTTATTATGGGCCACCACTGGTGAAGAGTATACTGAATAGCATCTGCTAATTCAAAAATGCAAAATTGACCATATAGATTTTTATTTTCATCTCATAAATTTTGTTGTTTCTTATAAAATGCTTCTTTATATTATTATTTATGAGTACAGCAGTATCTGCGAGCCTCAAAGATAGTCAAACAAGCATTTTTTGGCAATTCATAAATTCATCAACTATTTAGTCATTTTTTGTGATAGTAATGCATTTTTTGTGAAAGTACCAGGGGATCGTTCTTGATTCTAATCCACAAATGTTTTATGAACATTATTGACTGACTACATTAATTTTGTTACCGAATGGTCATGTCTCAAAAATTACGTATAAATAAGGTAGCCAGGTCATACACGCATATAAATATCAAAGTTTGCAAATATTTTAATATTTTGGTTCTTTCATGCAGTTTTTACTTGTTCTTAGTGATTTGTGTCTGCGGCTACGTGCCAGCTAACTAATGTGTATGCTCAGAAAAAGATCCACATGTTGGCCACTTTTGCAGTAGAGTACAATATGTTGTTTCTGTGTCATAGACCTTGACTCCTAAGATTTGACACCCAGGGTCACTTACCAGCTTATTTAATACTGAGGCAGTTGTGGCTCAGTTACTGTTGTCTGTAAGAGATGAAATGTTAGAAGTAAGCTGAACTAACATGCCACGTCTCCAGATATCTATTGTTATAGACATATTGTGTTTATTGTAAAATAATCCTTTTTTGTCTTCTATTTTGTTTATCCATAGTCAAAAACACCTGAAATAATAAAATTTAGTTCTGTAATCTTGCAGTTTTCTTTCCTGTCTTTTTTTTATTTAAAATTTTGCATGATGTATTGTTATTAGATGTTTATGGTTTTATTTTATCTTTATTGATTGCAAATATTATTTATTCACATTTTGATTACTTTCGTTTAGTTCTTCACTTTAGAACATAGGGTGTTCTAAAGTGGGTTCTGGGACATGGGTGTAAAATATTAGTCTGTTTAGCAAAGACAGGCAGGAATTTGTTCTTTTCATGGATTTATTAATAAATAATGGAAATTTCCATAATAAATTCTTATTAGTGCAGATAACAGTATTTGTTACATTTTATGATAGTTGCTGCTTGACCTTGCAGTTCAGCACCAGGCCATGATAAGGATGATCATGTCTGTCCACTTTTAAATGTATTAGCATTATGTATGGCACACCAGTGGTCGAGTGGATAAAACTACTGAACATTGCTAGTTCAGACTGGATTCATATCATAATAAGCAGGTTAATTGCATGAATCTTTTCGCGTTTCCTCCATGTGCAAGCATAAGCCAGTTTCCATTAACACATTGAGCCTGGTGCCGAATTTGCTGTCCTTTCCGTTCAGCCGTTTGCCATACATTTATTAAATATACAGTTTTTATATAAATTATTATTTAATTGTGCAGTATCAGATTTGAGTACTGTTATAAATGATGTTGCCCTATGGATGTACCAATGATACATTTTTTGATTGGAAATCCACCTTTTGTTGTCTTTTTGAATACTTAAGTTATGAAAAACATATTTTAAATTATCTTTATCCTAATTAAAAATTACCATAATTTATTGAATTCAAGAATGTAACTGAATGTGTTTAGAAGTACATACAAAATTAAATATTTATTTATTGAAATATTTAATATTTTATGTTGCTTTAGATGGGAGAAGTGTGTATGGGTATTATATTTGAAACAAAAAGCTAGAAGAAATAATTTCTTTTATTTACAAATTGCAGAAGTTCATTAAAAATCATTTAAATTTGTTTTGCACGTTTTTGCTTAAAGAATACAAAAATTAAATTTATTTTACATTTGTTTACATATTGAACAGTAATTAAAAAAAATCTTGTAGGGATTTTGTCCCTTAAAACAAAATGCATTTCTATTACTGTGGTTATATGTGAAACTTGCTGAGCATTTTTTGAAGGGGATGTACTTTATATATTTGAATATTAAATATTTTTATTGTTATTTTTTACTGTTGTAGCATAAATGGCTCAGTTTTTAATGGCTAACGTTTTTCATTATAGCTGCACAGGTAGTAAATGGGCAAAAAATGCGGTCGCTTGAAAGTGGTGATGTATCCATAACTTCACAAAGTAGTAAAGAGGTAAAGTATTTTAAGAATATTTCTTAGGTGTATTCTCAGTTTCATTCAATAATATAATTTTTATCTTATTATTGAAGAAGTTAAGTTAGTATATCTGAGTAATTTATATTCATATATTTTTGCCTGTACTCTAAATTCTGAAGCCAATCACTATATATTTGATAAAGATAATATTTTTCTCCTTCATGAATATCACATTATTTCTTTTTCAAGGCCTTTAGTAAGTCATCATTGAAACATTAATCTGATTATTGTGAAGGTCTTAAGACAAATAATTGATTATGGCATATATTTTTAAATAAATTTAATTTGAGAATTTTTTAAAAAAAACTTGATATGAATATTGACAAAATGGATTGAAAGCAATTTGATAATACATTTGGCTTAATGAATTTCACGAATTTTTGAATGGTGTGTATAGATGGTTCAGAGCTTCTTTAGTCAGTAAAATGCTACATAAAAGGCAGATGCAGTTGAAATTAAAACCATTTAATGTACTAAAGATTAAATAAACTTTGTTTAATGACAATTCAAACAAAAATAAGCAAGTTAAGTTGGATTATGCCATCTATTCATATTCCAGTGGGCAGAGACGGCTGGCCACCTGAAGAAACTCTGACCTAACGAAACTTTAAGGACGAATTTTAGCGTGCAACTAAGACCATTTTTATTTTATTTTAATATCAATAAAATGTTAACTAAAGCAGAAGCTCCATTTTTCAAACTTTTGTAAACAAGCTGCATTAGCATATATTAGTCTGTTCCAATAAATGAAAATTTTAAAATCCCAAGCTTCATAAAGTTCCTTTCTTTCAAGGATTTGAAGTTTGTTATTAAAAACCGACTTTGGCATAGCTTCTACTGCATTAGAAAAGTAAGCTCCATGCATTTAACTTTTCACTATGGGGAAGATGAAAAGTGTGTCTAACAAATATGATGGGTGCAAATGAAGTTCAGTTTTTCTGTGGATAAAATATTCTTTGTTTCTGCAGCTAGGAGTGCTGACACGTTATATTGATGTGAAACCAAGCTTCATGTTCCTGTAAAGTGTTGCTTATATCATTTTTATGGCATTTGTAGAAGATACACATCTGACTACTAGTTTGCTATAACTTTCTTTAGTTTTCTATGATAACTAATTCTGCGTACTCGGAATAAGACAACAATTTTTTAAACTTTTTAAAACTTTTTCCTCCCAAAATAGCATTGTCATCATAATGTAAGCAGGTAAATATTTCATCTGAAAAACTCCATCCCTCTATCCATTTGTGTTTAGTTTTGAATTTAAATTGCTAAATCTATGATCCATCATGCACTATAATGTTCCCAACTTTAGGTTTTTTCCTTCAAAAATAATATGGTACTGGACACTTTTGTTATTCGCTCTACTGATACAGTTCTTATTTCTAAAGTTCAAATTTATAAATGTATTTACAGGCACTATAAATTAAAAAAATATGTATGGAATGTTTTTCTTAGAAAACGTTTCATTTGCAATGAAAAAATTTTAAAAATTCTGAGGAGATATGTATTTTTTAAATTAGGGATCTCCAACAAAAGATCTAAGTGAAGGTTCCCCCAAACGAGAAAAAGAAAAGGAAAAGAAGAAGAAAGGTGGCATTAAAGCTCCATCCTTTTTGAAATCAAAGAAAAAGCACAAAAAGGAGAAAGAAAAAGAAAAGGAAAAGAAAGAAAAAGGAGCCACAGAGATGTAAAAGGTAACTAACTCGTTATATATTTAATCATAAATTAGAATAGAACACTTGTGCTCTATTCTGATTTTGGAATTTTTTTAATTTTTTCTTATTATTAATACAATATTGCTCTTTTCACTGTTAGTTACAGTTTTATGGGTGTGTAGGGTGATCTGGAAAAATTATACAAAGGAACATAGGGGGTCAAAATAAGCAGATTTTGTAATTGGAATATGTGTATCCTGAAATGGCCTGTTGAAGTGGTATACAGAACTGTTGACCAGTAGGCAAAAATGGTCTGCTGGCAATAATCGTCAGTTTGCATGGGGATTCCAAATGACTCCAAGTGATGCTATTTAAATGCTGATATGCATTTTATCCATGCATTTCAGATTGTAGAGTGTCTTTTCAAAGGAGATACAAAGAGTGATTCCTGAGTACCTTCATTGCTAGCTGCTTTCTTGTCACAGTTTGGCTTACTTACCCCATTATCTTTTATCAAATGTTTAGAATGAAATTTCATATTGATATTTTGTGAAATGATTTCACTGTGCATAATTTTGTAAATGTCCGATAAAGAAAACATTATCCATGCTTTCAACCATGCTGCTGACTTGTCTCGCTTTCTGTGTTTTTCAAGAATCTGGACCTTGGTTAGCATATGCTTTTTGCTATATAACTACTGAAGCATTTTAAGCATCTTTGTTTCGTATGTTCTATGCAGAATTTGATAACCATTTTCTGCTTCAAATCGAGAACCATGTTAAAATCACAAATGAGCTAACATACATGGTAAACTTGCATTTAATGAAATATTAATGTAGATATTGCAGTATTGTAGGTATCGCAGTAATTGCAGGTTGTTTTTGCCTGCCATTGCTTCATTATCACTCCCAGAATCAAGGCTTTTGTTATGGATTAAATGTTATTATTACTCATTTCACTTCTACTGAGAAGTCTTTATTTTTCTTTCATTTTAGTTTGAAACAAACATACTTGTTCATTTTTAGAAGTTTATCTCTTATCTGATCCTTAAGTAAAAATTAATTTAGCATTTTCAGTCTATGTATTGGGCAAAATTTAAATTATCTATTATTTCACTTAAAAAGCTCAAACTTATCTACTATTATAGGTTTTAAATAATATTTTGATAATAAATTTTGAGAATAAATAATGTTTTTCTTTTTAAATGTTGCGACTACTAAGATTTAAAAATAATGATGTGTTTCAATTTCATTGTGTTGATTAAGTTTCATTCGTAGCAAACAAAACTAGCAAAACTTTTACCATTGCTTCATTTAATTTAAAATGTACGAAATTCTTCTCCACAGTTCTAGATAAATATTTTATATTTTTAAATATTTTTGTTAAATAGTTTAAAATTTATCAGAAAAATGATATTTTTATTGATATAAACATTAGAATATTAATTTCAGATTCATTAAAAAAGAGATGGTTGAGGTACAGAAAAATTTGGTAATCTCACATCCATTTCTGCGAGATTTTTTCCATAAGATAACACTGCTGCCATTTCTTTCTTTATCTGCATTTATTTAAAATGTTTTAGAACAATATTCAATCAAGATACGTGTCTTGGGGGGCCTGATTAAGCTCAAAATACATTATTGACATATGCTGAAAAAATTAAAAGTATAATATTGGAAAAATAAGGAATATTTGGATACTGTACAATGTGTTATTATTATATATATATTTTGATTTGTTTTGTTCAAGTAGAATGATATATATATAAAGCAGGTAATGTTTGAAAAGATTTCATGCATTGCAATAATGATTATTTTTAAGTAGAAACTGTGACTATAATTAAACTGTAAATACGTTTATCTCCTAAGAAGATTTCTTCATGAAATATGTTTGAAATTTTTTTTCTCTTTCTCTGTGAGTTCAATAATGTGAAAAATATTATTTCATAGCAGTATATAATAATCTGGCATATTTAATAATCTGCCATTAAGTCCTGAGTTTGCGAGATTGCTGTACCAGGTATGGTGGAATATTGTTATGTTGTACTGCGACAAACGATAAATGCTGCATGTGATTATATGAATAAGCCAGGTAAATTAAGAAACATTAATATGAAGAAACACATAGCATAAATCTATGTTGCAAGATAGTCAGATGAGTCAATAAAATTCATTAGATGTTCGCACGTAGAAGTATCTGTATGTCAATAATCTGTCAAAGAAATCTTTATTGGACAATTTATTTGTGCAACAGAAAAGGAGAAGATATTTTCATTTGTTAGTTTTTAAGTTCATTTTAATTAGTATGAAAATGTGTTTAAGCCATGAGCACTCGCACCAGACATGAGATACTCGAGCTATTTGCTTTTGTTCTTTATGTGAAGTTCTTTTGTTCATCTCAGGTTAAAACTTTTAATAACTGATTTTAATATCATATTTTTTAAAAGAGGCTACCCTTTTCTAAAAATAGTTGTTTTGGAAATGATTCACTTGGATATGTCATAGCCATGTGAATTCCTATGTTATTAGCCCAAAGGGCATTAGCTCAGAAGGGAAATTAATTTCGTTTTGGCACTTTGCATCGAATCAGTATAAACGGTGTATCACTTTTCAAATTGTTGCCACCAAATGTTAGAGGCCCACATTATATTTAAAGAAATTAAATAATGAAAAATCTGCATAAATGTATGTATGTTTCTTGCATTGTGATTAAAAAGGGGTACCTAGAAACGTCAAATTCTGAATACCATAATCTTCCACTTGAATATAGGCATCTGCAAGCTGTAATTTCGAATTTGTTTCATTATCTATTTCATATTTTAAAAAACTTTAGAAAATGTTTTATTAACAAATGCAACGATTTCATAGCGAGCAATGGCAACACTGTCCCCCCCCCCCAAATCAAGCATGCTAGACCGTGTATTGTAAATTCTAAAGATCTGCTCTTTTTAAATTATTTTGTGATATTGCTGTTGAATTGAATTTTATGGTAAGTGCAAGAACATGTTATTTAATAAATAAAGGCAACACACAAAACGTTAAAAAATGCCCCTTTGGGCGTAACGTAAAACCTGAAATCTTTCAGATTTTTTTTTTTTTTTTTTTTTTTTTTTTTTTTTTTTTTTTTAATTTTATGTTTTGGAAGTGTTCACAGTTTTTCTGCAGAAAATGACACAGATACTGTAACAGAGGTGAACCATTAGTGTTTAAAATGAATATTTTGTTGGTTAAGGGAAAATTACTAAATCATTTAAAACAGAATTTCAAAGCAGACTCTTGTTTCTGGAAACAAACCGAATCATTTAGAACACAGTGAAAAGAAAAACCAAACAAAGTATCCAAGAAGTGAAACAAATTGGATTTCAATATTAATGAACCACTTAATGTAAAGCATAAAAAACTTCTAAAAATTATGTATTGTGTCCTAGTTAAAAAAACAAAGTGTGAATTTGCCCCCTCCCGAAAAAAAGAACTCTGTAACCTCAACATGCTGTCAGTGAAAATTTGCATAAGCTAAAAGTAAGTAGCATATTTAATTATGAAATAAAGCTATTTCTTTATGTTCTGTTTTATTTATAACTCAAGTTTATTATTTATGATGTTTAAATTGAGAGAAATGGTCTCAGGTATTGATACACTCAGTGTAAATTCCCTTGTTTGTATTTACTGCATTAAGTGCCGCTAGGTTAATATTGCATGTTGAATTCCAAGAAGAATTAAGCTGATCTAGTAAGCTCTTGTGGTTATATTATTTCATCAAAATGTTGGATGTAAAATTTTATGGCTCGGTTTTCATACATGGCAGAAACATAGCCACACTGTATCACTGGTGCCATATGATACAGTCTTGCCTAGATGGGCCTAGTTGCTTATATTATAGGCAGATATTATTGAGGGAAATCAATTTGCATGTGAACGGATGGTATGAAAAACTACATTTGCATCATTTTATGTTATATATGTTTTCCAAAGGAGTGAGTGTTAAAATGCAATAAAAATTTTGAGACACATATATTTGGAATGTGCTACTGCTCTTATTAAAAAATCGGTTTGGAGGATTTTAAATGATGGCTTGGATTTTAAACCTTGCTTTGAATAATGCTTTGTCAGAAATGAAGACACCATGCATGCTTTAGTGGGAAATGATACAAAGATTGTAAGTAATGATATTGCTGAGAAATTTGTCAACATTCAGACCCTTCATTTGAATTTGTATTCATGTTTTAGCTGTGATGGGTGCTGCATTGTTTGACAGGTAGTAACTGAGTAGACCATGTTTCTGCTGCCATTTCTTCATTTGCCATAAAAAGGAACTATTTTTAAATTGAGTCATAGTAATAATATTCTTCTCATAGGTTGAATTAAAAAAATTAAAGCGAAAAAGATGCAATAAAAAGTAGATCCTGTACAAGAACATACGATAAAATAGAAGCAAAAAATGAAGAAATGAAATTACAGTATTCATGGCAAGAGCTTCCTTTCATCTAATGGAGATTTTATGGGATCATCTAGTGGATTTCATCTAATGGAGTTTTTGTTATATTTCTTCCATTAGGCAAAGCAGTTACAGAGAACAAGTACTATAAAAAATTCCCCAAATACTGCTGATGTAGAAGTACTCTTAAAAATTACTCTTGAAAGGGCATCACCAGCAGACTGCATCCCAAGTAGCACAGCAACGTCGTAATGACGTTGCAAACTCATCGCGGATGTCATTGCAAAAACGTTGCAATATGCTGTCTTTAAGACGCCTAGATGTTCGTGAACATCCACTGTTTTTGCAACCATTGCAAAGACTTTATTATGTCTTTGCAGGTTAGGTTTTTGTCGCATAGACATCATTATTGTGTCTTTCGCAGGCGATATTTCGGTTGTGAAAGCATCGTATCATGATGTCTTGAAGACACCTAAATGTTCGCAAAATTCCACCTTTTTGCAATTGTGAAAATGTCATTATTATGTCCTTGTGTTAAATTGATTTATGCAGAAAAATAAGCTTAATAATTAATATATCTTTCTTCTTTTTTAAATTTGTAT